GATCTTTCTTAGGGCCTGGATGTACCAGCCCCTGTACCACCCAAAAAAGCTCCGCTGGACGGCACTGTGAGGAGGCAATGGAAGTGGAGAAGAATTTCTTCTTTGCCGCCCTCACCACCACAGCATAGGCTCAATAATGAGCTCTTAAACGTGCTCGGTCAGATTCATCTCAAGATTTCCTCCACCTGCGCTCTAGCCGTCTCCCAACCCGCTTCATCGCCCGTAATTCAGGTGTATACCAAGGGGATGAATGGGCTTTGCCAGGCGGGAAAAGACGATTAGGAGCGATCGTGTCAATAGCTCTGGCCATTTCCCCATTCCACAGTTCAAACAGAGCATCAACAGGAGTGCCAGCTTTATGAACTGGAAACTCCCCCAGAGCTTTCAGGAATCCATCCGGATCCATCCAGCTCCAAGGGCGGACCCAAACAATAGGGTCCACACCCTTACAGAGGGAAAGGCCGACATTGAGCTCGAACCTCACGAGGAAGTGGTCTGACCATGACAGGGGAGTCAAACATAAATTGCTCACCCTCAGATCACCCTCTTCCTGCCCCGTCGAGAAAACCAGGTCCAGTGTATGTCCACGTTCATGGGTTGGGCCAATGACATGTTGAGACAGCCCCATGGCTGTTATGGAGACCATGAAGTCCTGAGCCGCCCTAGTCAGAACAGTCTCAGCATGGAGATTGAAGTCCCCCAGGACCAGCATCCTGGGAGTCTTCAACACCAGGTCCGAGACAATCTCCATCAGCTCAGGCAGGGAGTCTGATGGGCAGAAGGGTGCACAGTACACCAGCAGAATACCCAATCTGTCTCGGTCGCCTAGCACCAGGTAGAGGCACTCTAGACTCGGTCTCGAGAGAACAGGAAGCCCCGCTCGATAGAAGATAGAAGCTGGATAGATCAAAGCGACCCCCCCTCCCCTCCCCTCTGGGCGTGGCTGGTGCTGGACCAGATACCTGGGCAGACACAGTTGAGAGAGGGACACATTCCCCCCCCTCTCCCGCCCAGGTCTCTGTGATGCAAGCCAGGTCGGCCCCCTCTCCACAATTAGGTCGTGGATGAGGGATGTTTTATTATGGACCGACCTGGCATTAAGTAACAGCACCGTCAGACCCATGGGGTGGTTGATAAGCATACCTGGAACCTTCAAGTAGGGGGAATAACCAGGAGGAGGAACAGGTGTCAACCATCTTTCCTTCCTTCTTCTATACCGATATGTTAAACCCCCAACGCCATAATGAGCATTGTCCAAAACTACCCCAGTGGCGGTGCCCACGTGCTCCTCAGGCAACCCCGTGGAAGCAGCCAGGTGTGAATCCATTAAAACACTCAGAGTACAACCAAATTAAAATACAATAAAAACAATAAAACCCTGCCATCACCTGATTACAGAGGCCCACCCACAGAATCTATGGCCAGCCCAGCCCCCACACAGCCCCGCACAGTCCCAAACAGCGTCACCGCCTTTAGGCCGTCGCCCTTCAGCCACCAGCCCGAGGCCACCGGCCCCAGTCACAGCCGGCGAGTTAAAGCCGCGGCCCCTCCCCTGCACCCCGCCTGGCACAGCCGCCACCCATGCCGGAGAGGGGTGGGCAGGAGCAGGGCACACGGAGCACTTGCCGGCAGGGAGGAGGGCCCGCAGGCCGGCAGCGTCCCGGTCCCGCGGTGGACGCCGTCCGTCCGTCGGGGCAGCATCGTCGTCAGCGGCAGGGCCTCAGCCAGCTGCGCGGCAGTGGGGTCTTGCAGGTAGCGGCGGTGGTGGTGGGCTGTCCATCCCTCCCGGAGCCGACTCGGTCGTGGCCAGCGAGTTAAAGCCGCGGCCCCTTCCCCGCACCCCACCCCCAGCCCAGTGTTGTTCACCTTTACTGAACTCCTCACTTTATCCTCTGTTCCCCTTCCCCCTCCCCTTCCAATTTTTGTTTTAAAAACCTATCGTCTTTACCTCTTGCAACCTATCTCTGTTCACTGTAATTCCTCTCTTTTTCTTCTCGATGGCACAGCGGGCGGCTTTTTGTAAGTGTGTGCAGTGTGGACTAAAATGTCTTCCACTGACCCTCATACTCTGTGTCTTCTCTGCCTTGGCAAAGGGCGCAGGACTGATAAATGCAGCCACTGCCAATTGTTTACAAGGCAGGTGTGCAAAAACACAAAAACCGGCTGCATAAGATGTTATGGGACCAAGCTCTGGTCGCCATGAAGCATATCTTGACAGAGACTGGCTCTTCTGTGGCTCTGGGACCTTCGAAAAGTATCCCCTCTCGTACATCTGAAGGGGATTTGGCTGACATGAATGGAAAGCATTCCCATTCTCCTCCATGTAAACATAAGGAGAAGAGCAAGCATGTCAGGTCCAAGGAACACTCAAAACAGAAATGTCCTAAGGGTGAGAGACCCGAAAAATCCAAGCGCCGGCACAAGAAGCGGGATAGAAAGTGCCTCACTCTGAACTGAGTGCTGTGCCTATCTTGGTACCAACTGAACCTCCAACCTGCCAGTCAGTTATGCAGGTGACACCTCCAGCATCACCCCTGCAGATTACCATCTTGGCACATTCCTGTCCCAAGCATTCCAATCCCTTGACTCGAGCTTCAATTTCCGATGGAGAGATGTGTGAATCTCCGCCCCAGTCGGGACCAGACCACCCACCTGAAAGTTCTCCAACTCCTACACCTGCTGGGCAGTCATCCCCGGAGGGCCCTCCAAGGGCACCTCAGTGTCCATCATCCCTCTTACCACCCCAGCCTTCTGCACCACAACCATCGTGGTACTGGGCACCATGGCCCTACGGAGAATTCGACCCCGAGTGCATGGAGCAACCTTATCCATGGGATTTCTACCCCCACCCCCAATACGGATACTACCCATCACCACCAACGCATCCACATCATTCAACCCCTCATTCGGTGTCAAGGGATGCCCCATCAACATCAGCTGTGTTGCTCACCTGTCCACAAACGGCTCCCAATGGGTCCTCATCCAGTCCACTGTATGAATCCGACTTGGATTCAGAAAACTCTCAACAATTCTCCACCTCTCCTGACGCTGTTATTTCCACACAAGGTTCCGGTTTCCAGGCGATTCCCAGGGTCGTTTCTCCGAGCTGCTTGCATGGATGACTAAATCACTGGAGATTGATATCCAACAGCGCATTGACGCTAATCAGGACAATATTTATGGCATGGTTCATAGAGAAGACTCATCACCCATTGCCTTACCATTGATCACCACCCTTCGGCAGGTGACCAACACCTGGCAGCTTCTGAACCACCCCCATCCCACTTTGAGATGTTTAGAGGCAATTTACAAGGTTCAAGAACATGACATCTCTTTCTTGCTGAAACATCCTCAGCCGAACTCGATCATCATCGAGTCTACTCAGGGCAGACAGTCCAGAGAACATTCCACCCCAGCTGATAAGGAGGCTCGCAAGATTGACATGATGTCTCGCCAGATCTACACCACAATGGGACTCGGTCTTCGCATCTCCAATTACGAGGCCACGATGTTATCAATATTTCTTATGGCAGAAGATCAAGTCCCTTGCTGCATTCCTCCCAGACCAGCAAAGGGAGCTGGCCTGCATTCTCATCAGGGAGGCAATGCAGCTCTCAAAGCAACAATTTAACACAGCGAGACAGCACGTCGATTGTGACTCTAGGGCTCTCGGCGGTGCCGTAGCCCTTCGTCGCCATACCTGGCTGAGAACATTGTGTTTTTATGAAGGTTTTTTTTAAAGAAATGTTGGTATACCTGCAAGAAGTGACTCTTTTTTCACCCAATGATTTTCTCTGTAGGTCTTACTCATGGAAGGAGATGGGGCTACTGAGACTAAGAATAGACAATTTTTTCAGGCCCCTTCTCGATTTGACTTGGGGCATGAGGGTTTTCCAAATACCCAGTTCTGCATATGGAAGAAAAATCAGAGACATTCCTGAAGCCAAACCAAATACTTGTGTGGGCATGTCCCCACCAACCACCAAGCCATTCCTACTGACTTTTCAATATCCAGCAGACACTCCTTTCCTCTGACGTGCTACTTATGGGAAGCAAATAACAGGTAGAAGGGAGTTCCTTGTTTTTCTTTCTCTCCCTTCTCTGTACTTTTGCCCAGCATCAGGAGATAGTTTAAAGGCTAGTGATGCAGTGGAGGAAGGGTTTGCAGAGGCAAAGCACTGATACTTTTTATTAGCAGGAACACTATTTTCATCTGCTGCCACCAACCTCAGAATACTCGGGGGGGGAGGGGGGTTAATTTAGCTGCAATTCTCATAGTCAGTGGGGAAAATTAATTTTTCTAGCAACAATATATTGTTCCCTCTTTAAGTATGATGTATTTGGGGTGGCTTGGTATTAAATGGGCTATTAAGATCCATTAACTTCTCAAAAGACCTGTTCCTGGTGAAGATAAAATTGCTAAAACTGGTTTGTTTGTATGTGTGAACGCAACTGCTTGAATTTTGACATGAAGATAACTAGAACCTCAGAATTTATCACTACATCACTGGTAAGGGCTCCAGTACATGCCCAGAAAAAGACACATACCTTCTCCCACAGGCATGAATACCCTCTACACGCAGGTCAATATGAGGGTATTTCTGTCTGCATCTTAGTATGCTGGACACAGAAGTTTGATCAGTGAGGCCTAAACTTCTGTACCACAATAAGTATAAAGATTAGGTTCTTTCTACAGGTTATGTGAATTGTAGGAAGGTCCCAGTCATCATCCCAGTTGTATACTGGGGGTAAATATCACAGCATTTTCTAACAGGTACTAGAAGTTATGCTAAGCCCTTCTGATAAGTTTCAGGTATCAATCATGTAATTTGAGATTTAACTACCTATCTCTAATATGAAAAGCAAGAGACTAAATTCTGCACAAAACACTATTGCATGGATACAATACCCTTGAATAAAGCAGATAACTGGAGTGTTAGTGAATATGAACATTTTTAACCTACAGAAAATCTGTACTACACAGAATTTATGTTCTTCAGGTGCTGAGCTTGGTGCTGTGAAAACATGTGAACTCTGTAAACGGAGCCTTACTATAGATCTGGATGATTTTAATGTGAATGACTATTATAGGAATCATCAGCAGTCTCGGGTAAGAAACTAAATAGGTACCCTCAGAAGGTTTTTAACAGTTTTAAATCATCCATGCTCATTGTCTAGAAATTACACATCATTCCAATTAAATGTAGAAACAGAAGAGTGACACATCACCTGGTTTGCTAGACAGAGATAACACTAGCAAGTAGTGGATCTCAACCATGCCAAGAATCATATAATAGTAGTAGAATTGGAAGGGGTCAGAGGACCATCAGGTCCAACTCTGTGCTCAGTCCCCCATCTTGTAACAATGCATTTGGTTTCTTTTTCCTAGATGTAGAACTTGGCATTTCTCTCTCTTGAATTTCATTCTGTTGTTTTCAGCCCAGTGCTCCGACCTATCAAGATCACCTGAAATCTGTCTTCCAGATATTAGCTGTTCCACCCAATTCTGTGTCATCTGAAAATTTGATCAACATCCCCTGCTAATTTGATAATCATCTCCTGCACCTGTTCATCCAAATAATTAATAAAAATGTTAAAGAGCACTGGTCCCAGGACCAAACGCTGCAGTACCCCACTTGTTACCTCTCCCCAGTTTGAGAAGGTGCCATTGATGAATACTCTTTGAGTCCAATTCAGTGGCCAACTGTGGATTCACCTGATAGATGATCTCTAGCCCCCTTTTAGATAGTTTGCTAATCAGGATATTGTGGGGCACTTTGTCAAAAGCTTTGCTGAAGTCAAGATATATTAAGTCCACAGCATTCCCACACCCCATCAAGGAGGTTGCCCAGTTTGGTAGGATTTGTTCTTGAGAAATCCATGTTGGCTTCTAGTCATCACTGGGTGGTTTTCAAGGTGTTTGCAGACTGACTGCTTTATAATCTGCTCCAAGATTTTCCTAGGGATTGATTCAGACTAACTGGCCTGTAGTTCCCAGATTCTTCTTTTTTTCCTTTCTTGAAGATAGAGACCACATTAGCCCTTGGATTTCCTAAAATCTGGGGTACATGTTTGACTACATTTGGGTTTTGCTTCCTTTAGAATCAAGGATTCAGGTATGGTATGCTCACTTTCTCCCATAGTTGCCACTTTGCCCACTAGACCTGTTGGTATCAAGTCACGGATAGCTGGGTATGTATTTTTTAACATGTAATGCAACTCCACCTCCTTTCCTGATTCTTCTGCTCTTTTTGAACAAATTAGATCCTTCAGTTGCTATATTTCAGTCATGGGAGTCATCCCATCAGGTTTCAGTAATACCTACCAAACTATATTTGCCTTCATGTATTAAGAGTTCAAGTTCATCCTGTTTCCCATACTCTGGTCATTAGTGTATAGACACTGAAGTCCATGTGCTTTATGCTCTGGCTTCTTTCTTACAGTATTGAGAGGAGTATTTTGCAGCATGAGTAGAGCTCTTTTCTGTGCTTTGCTGCATATGCCTTCATCCACTTCTCCCTCCCCAGTAAGACTCAGTTTAAAATTATTCTTGCTGTGGCCAAACACATATTGGACAAGTTCTTGGGCCATTGCAACAAATTTCAGCTTCAGTCCCATGCAGCAAGGAATCGCCCCCAATGAATAGTCTTTTTTTCTTGGGCAACTACCTTTCTGCCTTGTGCTCCCTGTTCCTCTGCAGGCTTCCCACTGATCTCATCTTCTAGTGCTTGAAAGTGGTTTCTTAGCTCTAGTGGTTCCACTGTGCCAGAGTGTCTTCTGATTCTTCTGCTCCTGGCTCTTACCCTTCTCCGGGGAGTTTCCTTTTTACTGGCTTTCCTTAATTCAGCATTCTCCATCTTCAAGCTGCTGTTGCTCTTCCATCTCTGGGGATTCTTGTTGTTGCAGTTCCACCGTTCTGTCCAAGAACTCTTCACTTTCTCTTATTCCTTGGAGGATGGATAAATGCTGCTCACGTACTCTCACTTCTTATAGTTCAACCAGTTTACATTTATTGCAGGTATATGCCATGATAGTCACCCCTTCTTGTGATGTGCAAACCCATTTTTTTATTAACATCAACCCAAAAAAAGAACCCATGGTTTGTTTAGCTGTGAAATCTGGATTATTTAAACCCTGGGCTGTCATTAGGTTTGTTCCCGTAACCGTGGGTTATTCATTGATTGTTTCACCAGGCTATATAGACAGTAAACAAGAGCAATTAAAAAAATGCAATTAATACAACACAATACAATTAACAGTTAAGATACATGGAGGGATGGAAACAGCCTAAGGAAACAACTGCAATTTGCTATGTGAAACCAAACAAATCCTGGATAGGTTACCCATGGTTAAACATTTATGAACCTGGTCAATGCATCTCTCTGCATATAGGCCCAGGATGAACTGATGAATTCGGGTCTCTACCTTGTACTGCTGCTTCACCTCTATGAACAAAGATTTGCGGAACTCATGAGATTAAACTACAACCAAGCCTCAAGAGATCGCGTAAGAGGCAGAAAATTATTTCTTTCTTACTATTTATATAAGAAACCTGGAGTTGTATCACACTCTTTATTCAGCAGCCTGAGTTCATTAGTATTCTAAATATGTAGAATGTGAAATAGAAACACTCACCCCAAACATTTCTACCAGCACGTTGCAGTTAACTCCCAGAGGCATAATCATTGCTTCTTCTCTTTGCAGTTTGCATATTTATTGCAACAAATGCCACATACTGAGCTGTATAAAGGCTGAAGCTGCTCCAACATGCATCATATGATTGGTTTCCCTGCCAGGTTGTTATGATTCTATATGTTGGGTGTGAGAAAATGGCTACTGTGAGCACACATTCTCAAGGGCCACTGGCTGGTCTCCAGAAAAAGAATCACAGGAAGAGATACAGAGTGGCAGGGCTTTGAATGTGGACCATTTCCAGACATGGAGATGAGAAGTGGAGATGCTTATCTCAAGGCCAGATGCCCCAGGTGTGCAGGCAGCCTCTGAGAATATCCAAGCTGTACAGCTGGTGGGAGGGAACGTGGAACAGGGAAGTTTCTCAGACATAGATAGTTTGGGTATAACTCTTGACCCCATGATACAGCATCAGTAGAGGAGGGAGGTCCAGTTAGAGGATCAGAGTGCAGAGAGAAGGCATACCCATTTTCAGAAGGCCCCTTTTGAAGGGATGGGACCTAAGCATGCTCGTAAGGAGAGTTCTTGGAAGTGAATACTAAATTGACTTCAATTAATCACTCTGTGCATGCTCAGAGATCCATTCTGGGTGTTTGTGCATCCGGAAAATGCTTTGGTCAATTGAAAAAAAAACATTTTGCAAGAAAAGTCTGTGGCTTTAAATTTATGAAGGGAAGGACCCTAGCTCCCAACAGCTTGAGTATTCCCACATCCTGAGGTGATGGGAGAAGATAGGGAATAGGTATATCTGTCTGTTGAGCATATGGAAGGGGAAAGGATGTGGGAAGAGTGTGTGTATGGGAGAGCATACAAGCAGGGAGGCTGTGTATGTTTGAGAATAGTGGATGATTGGGAAGACTGTATGTATTTACATGTGTGAAAGTGGGAGGAATGAGGCTGAGACCACTGCTTTCCTCTGCCATACTCAAGCATACCACAACCCCATGTGAGTATGGCAGAGGAAAGCATACCACATGCTTTCCTTTGCCCATTCATGCACTACGAGGCAATGTTCATTGCCACAAGAGTTTTGGTCTGCAAAGCAATTCTTTTTAAGGGTGGTCTGTATATTAACAATACAATATCTCAGGATGGAATATTGTTATCTTCTGTAAAAATATTTGACATAATGATTGTTACATTACAATCATAACACCTGCCTTCCAAACCTGATGTCCCCCAGAAATTTTGTGCTTCAGCTCCTATCACCTTGAGACAGCATAGCCAATGTCAAGAATGCTGGATTTGCAGTTCAAAACTTCTGGAGGCCACCAGGTTGGAGAATGCTTTTGTACATGACTGGTTGACTTCCTTGTCCTATAATGGCTAGATCAACAAAATACCTATGATTCCTTCTGCTGAATAGTATTTAGACATGTATGGATCAGCTTCACTCCATCTTCAATATGGAAATAAAAATCCTTAAATGCATACTGTTATGAAACTGAATAATTCATACTCATTCATTCATTCATTCATTCATGAAAATGCCGCACATGCATAAAAACACTTTGAATTATCGGTACATTGTATTTATGTGTTGCATGGGAAACCCATACTTTACCAGTGACGTTATTTGCTAAATGGCCAGGGTTTCAGATACCTACCCAATTCTATAGGTACTGAACGTACTTCCTTTCCTTTGAAGACGCTGCAGAGTGCTCCACCCCACCCCTAGCCATAGAAGTGCGTACAGGAAAGGATCCAGACACAGGACTATGTGCAAAGGAAGCCAACTTTTTCATATTGCCAACAAACTAACCAACTTGTTGTTTACAGCATCTTCCGACATTATGAACAATTGCTGTTTTTTCTATATTTGAAGTTTCAACATTTAAGGCATTTTCCCCACCTCTGTGGTGCTTTTTTCTGGGCCATTTCAACACATTTTCCACTAAAATAATGAAAAATTATGTATCTGTTCATTGTTATGCAAGGCTGAAAATATTAATCCTTTCCTCCTTTCCCCCTAGCTCTCAAGACAGCCTAGAACAGAAGAAAATCAAAGTAGGTTTATATAGAGTATCCACATATGTTTGTGATATATCTCACAAAATCTGTACATTCCTATGTACAGTAATCACTACACACCCTCTCTCTTCCAAGATATTAGATAGCTCTACTATGCATTAAGTCAGCGAATACTTTTCATGGTGTATGAAACTGACTTCAATTTGATTCAGTAGGTTGCTATTAGCTACAAGGAGTGCTGTGAATGTTTCATCCATTTAGAAAGACTAAAAGTTATTTCCAGTATTACCTTATCCAACATGTTCTGAAAATATATGCAGTGCTATAGCCAAAAAAGGCCAAATTTGCATGTTGTTGGCATGTCCATTTAGGTTGATGGATTTGATACACATCTTATGAAGCTCTCAGTCCTGTAGTTTATGTATAAATCCTGCACTTCTTCTAACCATTCTGTTATTTCCAGTTGCTTATCTGCATTCAGTTTTAAGAAGTGCAACTAGTGAAATATTGACTTGGTTTGCATTTAGCACAATTTTATGGGTAGTGAGTCCATGAATTGTCTGGAGTGAGCAGGAGCATTCATGCATGCTATTTCCAGTGTGCTTCCACTTTCAGTAAACATCCTATGATTATTCCATTCATAGATTATGAGTGGCATGTCTGAACTCAGACATTCTGGTTTGTTTAAGTTTAATCATACAGCTTGTTGTAGGTTAACTGTGAACCATTTAATCCCTAAACAGCCCAGACTGTCAGAGCTGAGACGTAATGCTCACAGTCTATGGGTGGTTATTATTATATTGCATTAGTATCCCACTTTTCTTCTTTTGGAAGGAACTCAAGGTGGCATACAAGGTTCTTTGCCTTCCAACAACTCTGCATTGTAGCTTAGGCTGAGAGGCACTGACTGGACCAAAGTAATCCAGTGGACTTCATGCTTTAGTGGGGACTAAAACCCAGATCTCCTGAGCACCAGTTTAGCAGTTGCAGCCACTAAACCATACCGGTTCTCTATTGACTGTACACTATTTACTGAAAACAGAAGTGAGTATGCCAGAGGGTGTTGACTTGCTTGCTTCCATTCATGCCCAAAAATCCATGGGTAACCTCATGGATTGTCATTACATGCAAACCTGGGTCAACTGTTCAGGTGAACCATTAAGCACAGCTACCAGCCCATTCCCACTGAAACAGTGTTGCCATAGTTACACACTGATGAGGGCCAAAAAAAGTCCCTCTTGTTCATTGTCTGACAGTGGGAGAGACAGGCAGCACCTGCAAGTAGTTTTATATTTAAAACAACTCTTTATTGTAGGTGCACAGTAAAGTAAAAGGTGGGCCCATCTCCAGTCAGGACCAGCTGCCACAGTCATCATGCACAACAAATTTATGTGTTTAGCCTTTTGTAATTATTTGTAACAGAAAATGTCATAGCAGGAAACATTCAGTTACTTATCGTACATGGTTATCTTGACCTACACTTCCTTTTAGGGCATCTGGTGTCAAATCATGTCTCCAGGCTTTTCTTTACACATATTGGCCTTCTTCAGAGGTTTATTTTATATTTTCTACTCTATTATGTTTCTCCAATAGAACCCTAAGTAACTGACACTTGTTGTATGGGCATCAGGAAAAATTTATATTTATCAACACTAACCCATACAGTGGAATTAATTTATACATTTAGCACTTTGAGGGAAGATACAGAAACCCTATCAATTACTTAGCAAATATGTATTCTATTCTTTCTTCATATATGGATTTTTTTAGAGACAAACTGCTGAAGAAAAGGCATTTCTCTCCACATGCAGTATAAATAAGGCTGTGTGTGTGATGAACTGTATTAAAAACCTAATACTGCATTTGAGATGTAGAAAATAGTCCTTTTTGAGTGATAGTTGCAATACTATTTAAGGATGCTGTGACTTACGAACTTTTTCATTTTTGAGGGCCTGGAAGAAATACTGTTTCACTGTAGCAAAACCAGTGCCTGGCATTAGGTTTCCCAGTTAGGAAACTTGCCAGCAAAGTTTTATGTTTTGTTGCTTGTTTTGTTTTATATAATGTTGTAAACCACCCAGAGAGCTTTGGCTATCGGACAATATAGAAATTAAATCGATGATGCTGATGTCAATGATGTCATTTTTACTTGAGATCTCTGTGAGCCTTCAGCTTTCACCAGTTTAGGAGCTTCAGGACTAAACTAGGTTTGAGTTTAAACTTTCAATATACCTGATTTTTGTTCTTTCAGTAGTAGCTATGGATGGGAAGAGAGCATGATCAGCAATCTGGCTAGGGTTACTTTAGCTCTTTTCCCCCTGCTAAAATTCCATTGAAATTTTCCTACCTCCATCAAAACTGTTTTGCCTAGTAGGAAAATGGCCCATTGGAATTAATGAGTTTCCTTCCTCACACTGGGAGAGAGGAAGATAAAGTTCTCATGTTATTTATCCTGCTTTTCCCCAACTATGTAGCTACTTTCATGCATGCAGGATGTACCTTTATAGTCATTTTCCTGATAAGCTACACTGAAATAATGAGGTTTACATTTGAGTTGAACCATGTAGGACTGCACTTTTTATGCTTCTTTATCTGCACAGAACCAAAAGCTCAATACAGTCATACTATATGATGCAAGAATAACTGGAGTAGAAGCTGTCCCTGTCTTCATTTCTACACTAAGTAGTTCCATATGTTACCTGCTTCTTCACTGAAATGAGTCACCCACTGTGTTTCATTCCTTCACCTTAACAGCCAGCATGGACTTGTTATTGCAAGAGCAGCAACAGTGGTCAGTGACTAGATTAGTCAGCAGAGCAGAGGGTTGGATTATTTTCCCTTCTTGTCCTACCTCTGGCAAGTATATTCAGGTTGAATTTTGCATAGTCAATGAAGGAGGAAACACATGTGTCAGCAGCAAATGGAATCCTAGAACTAGTTGGTCCATATTGTCAACTGTGATTATATCCAGGAATCTCCAGTGGAAGAAGTTTTGTAGCACACACTTTTGTAGACTAAAGCACTAAGATACATGTTGTGTCAACCTCACTTGTCCAGTACATATATGGATAGTAGAGCAAATATGTAAATAGTGCTGCAGTCAAATAGCATTCATATTGAGGAGGTACACTCCATGGCAATGCTGTGTAAAGCTTGACTGTACACAAGAGGTTTTTTTATTTGTAAATATAATGACCAAGAACAACCAAAAAGGGGAGGGAGGAAGCCACAGAAGGAAAAGGAAAAAAGAAGAAGCATACTATGAAGCATATCAAAAAGCAATAGTCATTTACATCAGCTTTAATTTTAAAAAAATTAAGTGGGGAAAGGTCTTCACTTTCTAATGCAAATATTTGTTAATGTCAATCAGCTGGGAGGGAAGAGGACTGGGAATGCCAGATATCCTATAGCTGGTCCAGCCTGCTTCCCTCCCATCATTAACATTCTGTTTGCAATGTATTCAGAGCTTTGCCCCAGAAAAAAACAACCAAAAAATACACTATGTTAATTTGAAGGCAACCTGCTGCCTCCTCCTCCTTATTTCCATTTTAACAAAACAAATTACAAACAATTATCACCACTGTATATTCAAAATTCCTGAGATTGTACTTAAGATGCCAGAAAAATAAATTGGCTAATAAATCAAGAGAAGAATGTAAAAGGAATCCATAAAATCTGCCAGGTCCTAGTCCCCACAATTATAGAGCAAGTGAGCAAGAGCAGGAAGCCCATAAGGAAAGCAACAAAAGCTGTGAAAGAAGTAAAAATAGTGCTTTCAGACCCACTGGTAGCATATCCTGGCAGAACACAATGCTCTCATTCTAGATCCCTCTGCCAACAAATGACTTTAAATCTAGCTAAGCATGGTACTCTATTCCCAGTGCCCCAGTATATAAATACGTGCACAAATGCACATATAGATGCATACAAATGAAATCCCAGTTCCAAAATGCAAACATCACAAAATCAGCCAGTAGAAAAAGGGAGGAATTCCATATTAACAACTCTCCACTAAGAGAGAGAGAGAGAGACAGGGAGAGAGAGATCTTGCACCTTTTTAAAGCCTTGGACTGCTTTAGCAGTCTTCCTTACCATTGGCAGATTCATGGCACGAAAATGTTTTTTCCCACTGATGGTGCCTTGAACATTTTAAGACTCAATTGCATTCTTGAATATAAGACAAAAAGAAAAGCAAAATACTGAAAATTCCTTTTGTAGCTAATGCTCAAGATTTGGAGAATTTGCAGTCTTCATCTACTATCTCCTTAGTAAATTTTGAAGGAATTACCTAGTAAAGATGGAAGTTGGATGTGTTTTGGCTTGTTCCTGCATCTTCTACCTCATTATTCTGGGAATTGCCTAATTTTCTAGCTTTTGCTTGTGGGAAATTATTAGCTTTCTTTCCCAATGAAATGCTGTTTGTTTTCTTTGGCAACAAGGGGGAAGCTTGGACAGAGCTCTCCCCTCATCTCACTGAGGCAGAAATGGCTTTACTAGTAGAATCTGAAAGGGATGTTATGGTGCTACTTGAGCTCTGGCTGAAGATTTAAAAATTATTCAACTATACAGGGGAATTTTGGAAGAATCTGTTGATAAAATACCTGCAAATCTACATAGATGTTGTATAAGCTAGAGTTTCACAGCTGCAAACTAAATCTGAGATTTTTGGAATTGCATTATCTGCTTTGCAGAGATTAGCTTTTGAAGACTCAGGCTAACTAGCTAGAGGGTCCAACCACCTGCTCAATGCAGGATTCAAGTCACCTATCCAGATTTCAACCCAGCCCAACCCTATTTAGCTTCTAAGATTAGGCAGGATTGGACACTTCAGGCAATACAAGAATCCATTTGTGTATGAGCTGTTAGATCTACCTGAGGACTGTCAGCTCCCTTCTTAAAGAGAGACCTCAGCCCATTCAATAACTCAATAACTAAATGGTAAGCACTGAAGTGATCATCACTGAACTTTTTGCATTTCAGTTCCCTCTGACAATATTTTTTGCATTTCCCCCCACCACACAAACTCATATAAATTTGCCCATTTGAGGTTATGCATCTTAGGAAATGAACACATACCCAGGAAAGATTATGCCAAAATAAATTGGTCAGTCTTTAAAGTGCTCTTTTTGCTGCAACAAACTAACTTGGGTACCTCCCTGGAAATTTCACCTCACCACTGATATGCCAAGCGGAACTTCCTTCCTTCTTCCATTTGGGGGCGAGGTCATATTTCCGGAACGCATCCTTCATTTACAAAGATGTCTGGGATTGAGCTGTAACAGATAGTGCAGATGAAACTCAAATACTTTAGGCACCTAATGTTAAGGAAAGACTCCCTGGAGAAGAGCCTAATGGTGGGAACAATAGATGGCAAAAGAAGAAGGGGGTGGCAGAGGATGAGGTGGCTGGATGGAGTCACTGAAGCAGTTGGCGTGAGCTTGAGTGGACTCCAGGAAATGGTAGAGGACAGGAGGGCCTGGAGGAATGTTGTCCATGGGGTTGTGATGGGTCGGACACGGCTTCGCGACTAACAACAACAAAAAAAAAGCCTTGTACACATTCTTGACTTGGAATTTTGAAGAACAAATCTGAACACATACATGTTCTGCTTGCAGGCTGAAGATACACAAGCTCACACTATCACTGAGTGAAGCTGAGAGAGCTAATAAGATAGAGGATTCTTTTTCTCTACATAGAATTATAGCAGAATATTTGCAAACTACAAAAATTTATGAATTAGGCTAAACTATTGTTGAGATTACCCTCTGGTGATATGTAATTTACATTTGAATGTATAGGCCTTCTTTGCTTTCTTGGTTTATTGAATATTGTTGCCTTTTCATAGAGAAAAGTGTTCTAAGAAGTGGTTTATTTCTTTCATCTTTGCAGATTCAGCTAATTCTAGCAACACTGGCTAAGAACTATCAAGAGGGGTTTAAAGAAGAGAACTCTCTATTAGGAATCTGACAGAGAGCCCTTTTCCACATCCTTCCACTTTTACCCTTTTTCTTAGCACCAAGCCACAATGAGTATGTACTCCTTTCACATTCAGTGTCATGCATTTAAATCTAAAGCCTTCTAAGGTTCTGGGTTTTGGCTGTTTATGTGGTTTGAGTCTTGTATTTTTTTTTCAAGCCTGACAATCTTTATAGAATCTACACATGTTATGAACAGCAACTTGCAAAGGGTAAAACTTCGTATCTCTCCTGCAGACTGGCTGCCAGCTACTCAGTCAAAATGTAAGCAACAGCTGGGGTTTTGTGTGCATGTGTTCATCGTGTGTGTTTTAGTGATGTAAGCAAACTGTTTGAGAGGCCAAATTGGATAACTATTTTGCCACACTTTTTCAAGAATCCTACATTGTGCCTGACTTGCATTTCTGAGTCTGGAGGTTCTTACAGCTCAAGAATTGTTTTGTCTGTTGAAACTACCAACCTTGTTACAGGATATTCCATAGCACACAAACGCAAATGTATTTATATGCTGTTGTATGATCAGCTTTTATAACATTGCTCCCTTCCCTTAAGATTAAAATAAAAAAAACAAATAATTTGTTTGCTCTTCAGACACCCCTTCCCCCTTAAAAAAGAAATGTAGATTTTGAGAATAGAGACTATGGCAGAGATCACATAGGGCACTTTCCTTGTGCCAAAGCTTTTGATGTAAACCCTATTTACCAGTGTAAAATCTCTCAAGCATTTTATGTCTCTCCCATCCCCACTTTATTATTCATCGAATGTCAACAGCTGTTTTTCATAGCATGGTATCAGTCCTATATTCTCTGCAGTCTCTACTAATCCAGCTCATGTTGGATTAATGATAAAATAGTCATACCAGCAACTATAGTTCAGCAAACTCAAAGGGCTCCCACTGAAAAGAAACCATGAAACATACAACTGCAGTTAATGTACTGTTATTTTCATTATGATGGCAGGCTACTTTTGAACAACACTTTGTTGTGCTGCAACCATTGCTGTTCAATGTGAAAAACTAGAGACAGCTTCTGAAAATGCATATAGTACAAATTGGGAGATGTGATTTTCAGTACTAGGGACCCAAGTCGAGTGACTTGCTCCCAAGTTCACATCAGCAACTGACTCAGGCTGAACCTGGGAGCAATGAGCAAGTGACTCAACTCGAGATTTCTGAGAGATTTTTTACCACTGAGTCGCTCCAGGTTTTACTGCCCACATCCGACATGAAGCAGTCTCCGGCGATCTCAGCAGAAGGCATCTGTGCTGGGATGGAAGGCAGGCATGAACACAACAAAGGCAGTGGGAAGGAGTGAGTTTCAACAGGGTGGAGGCAGGATACAGAGGAGGGGGTTGCAATGGAGGAAGGGAATGGAAGGCTTCAGCTCTTTCTGTACAAGGAGGGTGGTAGGAGGGTGGGGCAGGGGAGGGGGAGACTTGAGAAGAGACTTGACTTGAAAATTTCTTGGAATGACTTGAGACTCAACTTGGACTTGAAAGTAAAGATTTGAGACTTGACTCAAGATTTTGAGTAAAGGACTTGAACACATCAGTGGTGATTTTTATACGGAGAAAAGGAAGGAAACAACAAAAGACATATGTCAGAAGAAAAAAAATCTCATTTGGTGCCTGAAAAACTATTATTATACCCAAAACATTTTGAAGGGACTTTCTTTCCAGAGGGGCTGTAATTGGAATATCATTGAAAGCATTATTATATGTTTTAAATACTTCTAAATCTGTAAACATGTATAAATGGTTACAACAAACAATATCCTGAAATTCATCTACAAGTTACAACACTTATAACACATAACCATTAAAGAATAGGGTGAGGGCTGTTATGTTAGATAAACGTTTTGGCTTTAACTATAATATATAGAAATGCACCCATAGGTTGAATTTAAAATTCTTCCCTTTCGCAAGACTGATTCCACCCACATTTTAGTACATTGTTGTAACTTTTAATACATGTTTACAGTTTTTGGAGTGTTAAAAACCATTAATGGTATTTCAGTTTCGGCCCCTGAGGAAGGAAAGCCCTTTCTGCAAAACACTGGGCATAATAATCATTTTTCAGGTGCCTTATTTTATGGAAAGAAACAAATTTGCAATTGCCAATTATCCCAGAGTAAAGGAATTCCTTTCACACAGAAGCATCTGACAAGCCAATGCTAGAACTTTAAGACAATTCTGAAGGGTCCCTTGTAGTTCAAACCAACATGTTTGTGACAAACATGTCTTATCAGAGAAGAAAATTTTCTTGGTACACTGCTGTCAGGTAGTGAAGGCCAGAGAGTAATAGCATGCCTTTCATGCAGAGAGAGCTGCATTTAACTTCTTGACATTTTGCTGCCCAGCTGTTTAGATATGCTTTTCATAGTTGCAGTCCTAAACTTTCTCTCATTGTTGGTGCACCCCAATGACTGGCATTTAAATTTTGATCCTGCTTTAAAGACAGGCTTCAGAATGAGCTTCCCTGACTGCACTCTAAAGACAAGTTTTTAACTGAGGTTAGTAATGGCCTGTGTACAATCCAATTACATTTCAAATCAATCTTTTTGCCTATGCGAGACTTGAGTGATGGGCCTGGCTAAGCCATGTGGTTGCTCACTTCTATTTAAAGTGGATAACTGACTGAAAATAAAGCTGCAATAATCTCATCTGGTCTGAGACAAACAGTGGCTCTTTGCAGTGCTACCATTTCATGTTCACCAGCAAAGAAGACTGAAAGACCAATTTGAAATCCAGTCACAGCCACTGAAGAGAAACCTCTGTTAATATGAGGATTAGAACCATCCAAAGTGAAATTTTCCCAAAATCACTTCAAATAAAGATATGCATTATGATGGTAAATTCTAAGAAAACAAACAAGAAATCATTGCAGTGTAAATTGTTTTAACTTTGAGCTCAGAATAAGAGAAGAAAAATCAGGTTTTGTTGAAACTGATGACAAATGAAGCTTTATTTCAAGATTCTGGAAGGCTTATAAAATCCAAAACAAAAGTCATCTATTTTAAAAATGATCAGTTTCTCTCTCAGCACCTTTTCACATTAATCAAAAGGGAGACAGAAAATAGCATTTAACCTGAAGCATTTTTTCCAGTAAATTCAAACAGTTTTATGATGAGGGGTATACTTCCTCCACTCCTTGGATTATGTTCATAGTTGTGTTGAAAGCAAAAGATGAACAGAAGTAGGAACTAAAGCAGTTAAACCTGTTGAGGGACACTATGCTATTTTTATTACTGAGGGAGAGACTGAGGGAATAGCAGCAGCACATGCAGCTGGGAGGATGAAAAGGTTGACCTTGTACAACTTTCCCTCCTTTCAGGTCTGCTATTGCACTTAATTCTTGAATGCACATTAGACAGCCTGCCTTCCTGGTAGGAGATGGTTGCATGACAATTTCCCTATCAGGATGTTGAAGTAGTGTTTGTATTGCACACCAGCATTCTTGGCAAGACACTTTAATTTCAGAAATATCCATTCCAGTGAACACTGATGTTTGGTTTGTATGCTTGGGTCATTTCCATAACATGTTTGCATGGGAATCCTATGCTAGATACTGCTGCAAAAAGGTTTAATGCACGAGTCTGACAAATCATGTTTTCTGTCCTGGGAGCTCATCAGTTAGATATATGAGGTCTGTCTATGGTGACTCATCAGTGAGATGACCACACACTTCATATGTATTTACCCATCCTATCACAGAGCTCTATCATGGAAAAGACTCCAAGGCCTACCTCATGATTCAAATTAAGCCCTGGAAATGATCCCCTGAGCAGAAAAGCTGTTGAGAAATTAGTTATAAATCAATAAACACATGAACGTCTTCATATGAACCAAAAAGATGTCCCAGAAACAAGCAGCAGTCATAAAGAAAAGCAAAACAGCTGGAAAAACCTATTTTCCCCCTGAAACGTGTCATTACTATGACAGTTCTCAGGTCCCTAATGATGAAAGAGACAATGGTAAACATTTTTACAAACACATAATATCCAGCCTAAGTGAAAATTGCCAGTTTTTTTCTTATACAATAATTTCCATAATAGCAAAAGCAGATACTCACTTGTATTGTCAGAGCCTCCACCCAAAGTAAGTATGACAAAGAATGCCTCTCAGAGGCTCCTTAGTCCTAAGCACAATCCTCTTTATCCCAGCTTTCCATCATAAATGGCCACCATTCTCAGTTGCTGTCTCTTAACTGCCTTACAGAATCTTGGTACATAACTAAGTTATCTGGGAGAACTGTATGCTAGTGTGGAAGCAAGAAAAACTTGGTGTCTTATTGTATTACTTCAAATTATTAAAAGCAGCATGTGTTGGGTGAGGAGGATTCTGAATGGCCACCATATCTATGCAATCCACAAAAGGCGTAACTGTCAACATACAATTCGATACAGTGGAAATTGAGAGCTACCATAAAACAAATTATTTCTACCTCTTTTGCAGCAAGACAACAAAAAAAATGAGCATTAAGAATGCACTGGCCCACTTCAGTACTCATGGTTTGAAGGGCCTTTCTGCACTACGGGGTTGAGTGCACATATTTTGCATCTTTGTTTTCCATTTCTTCTAGACCCTCAGGGCACTGTTTCTGTTGCAGACTCAATGCATTATCTGAAGTGCTTAAGCCACAATATTTTGTTGCTGAAGAAATACAGCTCTTCCTTCCATACAGTTTGCACATTATTATTGGTTCTGTGATAGTTTGCAGCGTTGCTGTGCCATCAGCACACCTACCAGATAATGTTTATTTCACAGTCTGGCCGTTTTGTGAACTCCGCCACTCCTGTTTGGAGTGAAAGAATATGTGGTGTTTAATTCTTTGGATGCTGTGTGTTCCCTCCTCATAATGATTTTTCAAAGAAGTGCACACACAAAATTAATTACTTTTTATAAAAAGGAGCAAATAAAATTTCTATCTTCACCTCAAGCACACACCTAGTTGATGTGTTTCTGTCACCCTGAGGCAGAAAGTATCTGTGAAAGTGCTTGTGACACCACTTTCAGTGTTTTTGCAGAAGGGCCCTCTGTGGCAACAATGCTTAACAGCAGAATGGTTGCTATTGACAATGGCATAGCTGGGGAAGAAACTGTTTGAGGGATACATGACTAGAAGTTCAAACCACCATTAATAGGAATGGAAGGGCCTTCTTTAGTTATTCACATGGCTTCAAGAAGCAAGTCAATACAAAAAGATGTTCTTACCAAGAGAAAAGTGAAGAAGCCCTGCAAAGTTCTTCCTTGTTTTGTTGTTATAACCAGGGAAAAAAGGGTTGTATTTTTGATCTCTAAGGGGATATGAAGAAAACTTTGCTGGTCTCCAGAGATGAGAGCATCCAAAATAAGACGTTTCTCCAAGAAGCTAGCCATTCTTCCTTCTCCCCTATAGCTTCTCCTTGGCTAGGGCAAACTTAAATGGCCAGCTTCAGTTTCTTTTTGTATGATGCACACATGGGACAAGTTCCTAAAGGAAAACCCTTCCTGCATTTCTCCCCATCTCCCTAATGGTTCGGCTGCCCTGTCTTCACACTTTGTGACAGTGATTCAGCTGTTGTCCGTTCCTGTTCTTAGGGGCCTTAAGATAGTGTGTATGATAGGTACTCATGTTCATTCCCTGTTCCCCCTCCCACTTCCCACCCCATTGCTTGCCAATTCCAACATTATTCTTGCTGTTCATTCATCTCCATATCGGATACCAGGATGTCCTTTTCAGCAGATTCACTAGGGTTGGAGTTGGTGCGGCTGTAGCGAGCACTCTCAAATGTCCCTCGCTCTGAGATCCACTGGCGCTTATACAGATAGATGGCAATAGCTATCAGTGCACACAGTGCTAAGGAGGAAAGGATGACCACAGCAATGGCCTTTGTATTCTCCAGGAAAGCTGCAGAAGAGAGGAAATGTCAGGAGGAGCGAAGACCTTCTTTTGTGGAAGGATAAAATGCATAGATAAATTAGTACTATTTTTTGTGGGTGGACTAGCTCCAGTTTGGCTAGCAGAGTGAGGAATTATGCAAAGACACTTTGAAGTGAGGAAATTCCTATCCCTGGGTTTCAAAGGAAGCAGGGCTTTCTAAGGCAGAGACTTCACCCAAAACTGCTTTGCTAGGAGAAAACTTTTACACAGGTATCTATTTGTGCCAAATAGTCACATGCTGTTCCAAATTATATACTGCTGGACCCTGGGAGGAGAGTGTTAGGCTACCATCCCCTTGACTTCCCAGCTGGAAGGAATCCACAGTATTATTACTAATGAGGCCTGCTGGGACCCATCCCTCTTCATTAGAACCCTCTGCAACTGACTATCCTTCCCAAAACGGATGCTATTTTCATCTTGGGTAAGAGGGAGTCGTAGCCAGTGGCAGAGGGTGGGTTGTGGTGGCAAACACAATTGTGCTCACCTACTGTAGTTCAAGCAAAGTTGTTTGAATAGTCGGGATCCCTGCTTCAAAACTCTGCCATATCCATTGCACAGAATTCACAAAGCTCTGTGTTTACAGCCAGAGGAATCAGTTGGGAGTTGATCAGATTTTCACATTTTTGCATGTAAAGGAGTACATGGGAGCAGTACTGACTTGAGCTACAAGACGCTCACTTTCTAGTTGGTGCATACCTGATTTGGAGACGTGGCTTTCTTCCACTGCATGGAAAAAGAATCCCATGGGAAGATGGGGAAGGAGAGAGAAAGAAAGAGTCAGTTGCCTGCCCCCAGTGTTTCAGTGCTGCTCAAGATACCACATTGACTCCTTCCATGTTCTGCTGCTGTGTTCAATGGATTCTTTTCACATATGCTTGCATTTTAACTCCAGCCAGACTTACCTGCTTCCAGGTAGCAGCAAAACCCTACTTCTATTTCTTTTGTCCTTTATTTAGCCCACTGAATACTTTTATTAAACAAAGCAATATACCAACTTAGGAAGGAGTGAGAATATGTAGGGTTAATAAAACTTCATTGAAGAATAAAATAATTAAGATCAGAGTTGTGACCCAACTCCCTCCCTCTACCCTAAAAAAACAGTTTCTCTGCTGAATGATGAGTTCTATGAACATGCAAAGCTTGGCAGATCCACGTGACAGCCTCAGCTGACCCATTACTATTTACATTTACCACAACCACAATGCAACCACCCTCTACTCAAAATAAGGAACTATGTCTGCTATCCCCATTTAAGTCAGCCAGTTGGCTATCCACACACTGGACTAAATTCTCACTGAATCCCAAAGTTGATCTACCAGCATTCATCAAGCCACTGTCTCTTACAGTAGCTGGCTTACAAGGAGATCCATTGTAGCTTGTCTTTGCGATGGGAGAGAAATGAGCACACATCATTTCTGCGGCTCCTCTCATTATCTGATACTGAAGTCTAACTCCTAAGCACAGCCCCAGTGTTTCGTCCGTGGACTTCACATCACCTGCTCACCTCGAACTGTCTTGCAGATGACTCCCATAGTGACATTGGAGCAAGAGCCTAGATGCCACACCCCATTACTGCTCTGGATCCAAAAGCAGCTGTTTTGGCTTAGCATGCTTGGTCCTGTGTCATGCTGTCCCCAGTTAGAATAGTTCACTGCCATGTTGTCATGCCAGACCAGCATTCCCCCTGGATAGAAGAGAGACACATGCGGTCTGTAAGCGGGTGAACAGAAGGTAGCAAATTATAAAAGTTCACTTTCCCCAAATAGGGCATGATACTATTAGGACTCACGCTGCAAGGATGCAGGAATTGTCTGGAAGGCAAGAGTGCTAGGTATAGCAAAGGTAGCAGGGACACTGGGTCACAACCATTCTGCATGGTTTACTCACAGCAAGTCTGTAAAATATTGATGGTTGAAAATTGTCTACTATAGAGTTTACAGCCACACTGTGGACTTGCAAATTCCTGACTGCTACAAGCCCAGGTGTCTCAGACTGGAAACAGCTGTGGAGAGAAAGAAGGTAGGAACCAAGCAGATACGGAAAGAAATACTGGGAGATAAGAAGGAATATTTCTAGATACACCCAGTGACTTTTCTATTAGAGATAGGACAGAAGGATCCATACAGTACTTCAAGGCAGCCATATTTACACTAAGTATGCTGGTTGTTTTGTAGCAATCAAGCAGTCTTACGTCTCATGCCCTTGATGCATAAAGGCCTCTAAACTTGAGGACTTGTGTGCATCCTATGCCTGGAATAAGAGTGGGCGGCAGCTATCACTGTCGCCGTGCCTCAAGCTAGATATTTTCTCTAAACAACCATTTACAGCCATCAAGATTTAGTTCTGAAGAGCTAAGAAGAGTATTGCATTGACTGGAATCAACATAAGTGTGCAGCTCAAACATCCCCCCCCACCCCCCACCATGCGCCTTTTTCCTCATGGAGGCCCAGGTGCAGGGACAGCCAATGCAGTTCTTCTGGGGCTGGCTCTGAAGGGGACAGGGCAGGAGTTTAGCCTTCAGATTTCTACCTCTGAGGTCACAAGATTTTGGAACAGGGACTCTGAATGGCCTCCCAGACACACTCTAACAAAGTCCCCATGAAGAATCACCACAGAGACAATCGTGTTGAGGACCTGAGTTGAGCACTCACTCCTAAGTCTGATTCAAGTCACAACAACTTGATTCAACATTTCTATTGTTTTTATGACTGAGTCACTTTTTGGCACGAGGGAGGTTGTGGGAGAGAGGGACAAGGGGGTGGGGGCAGAGGGAGGGGGTTGCAACACAGTCCGGGTTACGTACTGATGAACACACAGACTGCCGTAAACCCTACATGAATACCTCTAACAAGAAACTGTGAATACAATGGTACCTCGGCTCACGAACGCCTCAGTTCACAACCAAATTGAGTCGTGAACAAAAATTTCATTAAAAATTTGACTCAGGTCATGAACTCTGCATTGAGTGGTGACCGCAATTGTGGCCATCTCCCCACCCCACTGCCCTGAGTGGGGAGATGGCCGCAATCATGCTGGGGGTGGAGATGGCCGAGATCACGCACATCTTTCCTGCACAAGCGCAACCACGATAATGGCTATGTCCCCCCCCGCGCACGATTGCACCCCTCTCCCCTCCCCTGAGCACGCCCATGATTGCGCCTGTCTCTCCTCCCAGCGTGCCTGCGTTTGTACCCGTCTCCCCCTCCCCCCAGAGCACCGGGATGACAGGCACATGCAGGGATGACAGGCGTGATCATGGTTGTACTGGGGAGGCAGGGAGATGGCCTCACTCATGCTCAGGGTTTGTGGGGGAGATGGCTGCAATCTTTGTTGTTCTTTGTCACTTTGCTTCATGATTTTCTGATTAAAAAAAATAGTTACGGAACAGATTGACCTTATCTGCACTGAACCTTATGGGGAAATTTAACTTGGCTCATGACCAATTTGGGTCACGACCAGAGTCCTGGAATGGATTAAGTTTGTGAGCCAAGGTACCACTGTATCTCCAGGAAGTATGTGGCATATTTGGTGATACATCATCAGTGGGCACATAATTCCCTAGAAATATTCACAACTTTTTGTATAGAAATTTCCTAGAGTTATTCACAGCTTTTACTTCCACAGTATTGGCTGACTTGTACCCAGGCCAGTGTATGCTGGGACACATGTAGTGCCTCAAGGATGAAGCAGAACCACAGCAAAAGAGTTTCTTGGAAAGGCAGAAGCAGATGTTATAGACTTCTCCCTACTCCTCTGTTGTTTTTTTAAAGCTTGAAATCCTGCTTTTATTCTTAACCTCCTAATCCATGTGGTAACATTAAGCCTGACATTAACTGATTGAGGTGGACCTGGTGCTGGACAGTCAGAGTTTGTGCTGCTGGAGAGAGGGGAGAGGGGAGTTTTCTTTCCTAAAGCAGGCCTCAAGGGTTTGAACAGCCGTTTTCTTTTTCTCATCATAAATGGCCTTGTAGCAGCTGAGGGCCTGCTTACAAGGGCAAATGCTGAAGAGGAAGTAGATCAGTATTAGCATGCCCATGCTGCAGATGGGGAAACGATGCTGAACTGACAACAGAGAGAGAGAGAGGCAGAGGACCAGGACCAGGACCAGGACCAGGACCAGGACCAGGACCAGGACCAGTTGGTGTAGAATTTGGCAGACCTGATCCCCTCCAAAGTGGAGAACAGGCCTGCAAATATTACCCAGTTCTATAAGAAGAAAAAAAACTTCTGATTTTTCTCTCTGTTTTATTTTAGGTTTGAGGTTTTGTTTGGAACTGTGGCATTTTATTATGGTTTATTGTAAATTAGCAGAGAAACTCAGAAATATATTCAGAAAATGAACAAAAAAAAGAACAAACAACACAAAATACTTTAAAGAGCTCAAATGCTTCATAGTAATGATCTTGGTACAATCTCTGCAAGAATGATAGTGAGCTAGCTTAACTCTGTAAGACACTGATTTGAAAAAAATCTTCTAAACTGTTAAAAAAACTATTTCTTTTATTTGTTTTTACTATACTGTATACACACATACATACATACAGATTCTCCCTCTCTCTTTCTCCAGTACCTGTAGTTACTTTATTATTACTGTATTAATATTGTTATTACAATGGTGCATTGTGTTTAAGATGTTTTAGTGAATATGGAAGTGTTTCTTAAGTGTATAAAATATATACATATACTAAGGCAAGAATTTGGTTTGCTTAAGTGATCTGACGTACATACAAATTTGACTTAAGGAAATTCTCAGGAATAGAACTTGTTTGTAACCTGGGGACTACCTGTATAGGGAGAAGGCTTCCGCTCTTTTTTTGGAACACTTTACTCTCCTCAGCAGGAAATAGAACAGCACTTCTTCTGCCTGCTTGCCTCTGCTCTGTTCCTGCACATTTCCAGGGACAAGAACAGTACCAGGCTGGGGGGGGGGGGCGATCATGTCAAAAAAATGTTTTTCTAAATTGAACTCTTGATAAGTTCAAAAAGCAGCACAGCATTGTTTAAATAAATTGTGGTTGAAGTAAAGGACTTCGATGCATCACTGAGGGAAGTGCAAATGGGAACATGAGGGGAGGGTGTTTACAACTCTCACACCCCCTACACACACTCTACCACCACCTCCCTTTTCTCTGTTAAAGTTGACTCTTGAGATTTGAGAAGAGAGTTGAGAACTTTTCTTGCAATGACTTGAGACTCAAGTTGGACTTGAAAGTTAAGACTTGACTCGAGATTTGGAGTAAAGAACTTGAACACATCACTGGAGACATCCAGCAGTGTGCTGCTGGTTGACTCAATTCTAGAAGAGAAGTCGCTTCAATTTTCCAGTATGTGTGTCAAAGTTCAAATTGCCATTTGGATGCTTCATTATACTCAGGTTTATCTGTTCTTCAAGTCTTCCTTTCCTTGTGCACTCACCATATCAAGTATAGTGTAGTGTAAAGAGAGAGGGGCTTGGAATATGAATACATAACAAAGTTCTGGAAAGAGGTTTTTAAAGTAAGTGAGAGTAGTAAGTGTCATGAAGCCAAATTCTGGCTGGACTTCAGGAAGAACTTTGGTGCCAGTTATAATGCAACAATGGAACTAATTACCTATGGCGATTGTAGAGGTACACTAGAGGCATTCAAGATGCAGCTAGACAGCCATCTGAGAAGTTTGACCTGAAGTCATGCATTCAGCAGGAGGTCAGATTCTGTGGCCTTCTTGGTCTCTTCCGATTCTACTATTCTGTGTTTCTATAAATTGTGCTATATATGAAGCACATGGAACATTTTAAGTTCACTTAAGGGGAATCCAATTATCTTGGGCCAAGTGTTACGCTAGACTGCTCCTCAATTTCAGTTGATTTGCTGACCTCACCCTTTGCTGTTTCATGAACTTCAATTCTACATTTCCTACCATGATGAATAACTAACCATGTGCCAGTCATTCAGGAAGGAAAAACACCATCTGCTTTACCTTTGGGGTTAAAGGCCATCCCTAGCCAGGCCCCTTTGGATTGGCTTTCATAGGTTTGGAGATGCTCCCAAACAAAGACGTTCTCCATCTCATCCAGTATGGATAGCACCGTACCTCCAACTATGATGGGAATGGAAATTAAAAGAAAAAATATATTAGTCCAAAAAGTTATAAAACAGAGAGAGCACATTATATGTTTATAATTATCTTTACGCTTCCTTGTGAATGATCCTCAGCCATAGCTTGCATAATGGAATTTTGTTGGTCATCTGCAAGCCAAATACCTGAATATCTCTTTCTATACCCATCTACACACTGCTCAAAATTTGCTTCAAAGATCCCTCCCAAAGTATCTTTCACACATTATATGTAAACAAAGGAAAGTGTTCTTTGTTGTTGGCACTGCCCTTCTGGAACTTCATCTACACAGAAAAACACCAAGTTAACTGTCCTTTTGGTACCAGGTTAAAACAACTTTGCTTACAGGAGGAATTTTAGCTGGGCAGTTTAACCTCTTCCATATTCTGTGTATATGAATGTATGAGTTCCCTTTCAAACAAAATAGGAGCATCAATATGACCTCCTGTTAAAACGTACAATGATTTTTGTGACTATATGCTATTCCCTTTCATTGTATTTTATAATTACATCACTCTTTCAGAGATGAGATTTTGTTTGTTATTTGTATACTGCCCTGATATCTTTAGATGAAGGACAGTTTAAAAATCTGTGAATATGTACTTTCAGTTTTAGAACCTGCACATAAAAATAGCAACACATTTTCTTCTGTGTTTAATTTTGTTGATCTGTAGGCATGCAACTGAAAAAGAAAGGGGGGTATTTGTTTGTTCATTTCAGTGTGTAAAGCTTACCCAATGTTAAACTTTTCTTCTAGAATGCAAAAATAAGCAACTCAGTATGATATTTTGAAACCTCTACTTCCCCAAACATAAGTTGTGCCTAAAAAATCCAACCACAGGTACCAACACTATAACTTCCATTCTGTAATTATTTCCAGTGACACAGTATTCTGAAAACTAAGGAATTTCACAAATACCCGCTGTAACAAAGAAACATACAATAATTTACCAAATGCCTTCCTGATGTTTATGCTCTGCCAGAGGTCCCTCCACCACCCTAGACACAATCAATCCATTTCTGCCAGCAAATGCTTCATTTTGTTAATTGGTTTTGCCTTTAGTGCAGTGTTGTTTTCTGTGATCACACTGCCTGAGCCACTTCTAACTGCCACAGATATGGAAGATCTCATATGGTGTATGTCCATCTGTATTACATACACATGCAAACTTTCAAAAGAGGTTGATTTCCATTTGATTTTTGTTTTCCAGCCTTGCAATTCTCAGGCTAATTCACAGATCCAAAACACAGTTACCCTGCACTTTTTACAGTTCTCCAAATTTTGTGCCACATTTCTTGCTTCCAAATGTGCCAAAATGCAGCATTTAAACTATTTATTTGAATAAAATGCATACAAGAATTTATACTTTCATTTTCCATAATGCATATATTCATGTGTTTTGATATAACATGCAGATTTATGCAAAACCATACTAAATTTATGAAGGATCATATAAAAAGAGACCATCTCACACAAAGAGGAAGAAAGAGATTCTGCATATATGATATATATATAGAGAGAGAGAGAGAGATACTGCTGCAGGGAACACTGCTTTTTTAAAAATATTTCATCTAAATTCCACAGTCTCAAGTGGTAGAATAAGTTAGATGGAGATAAATCCCCAGCAGTCCATTTGAAGCTAAATACTGTTTCCTTCTTTGAGCTTAAGAAAAAAAGAAAAGAAAACAGACATGAAAAGATAACAAAACAGAAGTAAAATAAATGATTGTTAATGCTGATGCAGATGGCCTCAAAGTTAGACATGCTGGAAGTCACAGCCTGGAGCTAAGACCCTGCTCTAGCTGTACCCAGAATACTCATGAAGTGAAGTGGACCCATTTAGATTCCTTTACCTTTCTGACACCTCTTCATAGCTTCATTCTGGTGCAGCATAACTTCCATGTGGAAGGCATAGCAGTGATTCCGGAAGGGGATCCAGGAGGAATCCTCCACAGTTCTAGGACAGCTCCCATTGTAGCTCCATTTGTGTGAGAGTAGGGCCCCTGCAAAGGAATGCTTGGTTAGCGGGGGAAGCATCGGGCAGAGAGGCCCTCTATTTCAGTATTCCCTCATGCGGAGTTCTCACAGAGATGCGGCACCTGTATTCATCCTGCAGATGGCCCCTTGCAGCTTGGTGTCGCAGCTGGCAGTCCTCCATGCCCCATCTGCATCCATGTAAGTGCATCCCACCAAGTGCTGCGGCTCTCCATCCTGCCAGTTTGTGTAGGAAAGGCTCTCATCTGTAAACCACGTGTAGCTCCGTCTCCCCTTAAAGTAGCCAATATATAGAAAGATTTGCCATACTAGAGCAGACCAAGTGAGATATCTGAGAGAGGCATGTACACAGAGCATGATGAAGAATGCATCAAGTAATTAGGAGGCGCGTGTGTAGAGCTGTGAAATTTTGTTGGTATGCAGTGTGAATTTACCATGTACCACAGAACCGCACTGGTGGTTCTCTAGGCAATGCCTCAGGAGTAGAATTCTGTCATCTGTGACTGTGACTGGCAAGCACAGCTTATTAAATAGTCCCATCACTGTTCCCATTGATATGGAAATAATCCTGGATAAGGCTGTACCTGTCCAGTTGTCCAAGAGCTGGGACCCGAATTTATCTGTGACAATTACTCAGTTATTGCTGAATTGCAAAGGCAGTTCTTGGCACACGGGCACCTTCATGGCCTGGTGTGTTGCATGCTCTTTGCTTTGCAGATGCAAGTGATGCATGGCCACACACCAGCTACCTGCCCTCTCTGCTCCCTCCTATTTGCTTGATCTCGGTCTTCTGCCAGCACTCACCATGAGCCAAGGATTTTTCAGAAGGGAAATTTATCTTAATTCCTATGTGAAGAAGGACTTGCTTTCAAATTGAGGCAGAGAAGATTGGGAGAAATGACCTTTAGGTACCTTCCTGTAACTGGATTCTATGACTGCTTCCTGTCCATAAGTCAATACTGGAATCTGACCCTGTGGCCTAGCTGCCTGTCTTGGGATAACATCCAAGTGGGCTTAATTGCACATGGTAGGCACGTCATGAGCAGAGCCAGCTGGAGCCGGGGGTCAGACTAGATGGCCCAGGAGACCCCTTCTGACTCACTCTATTTCTCTGTTTCTAATTGCATATTTGACATTGGCAACTTTGCCCATTGTCCTGGCAGTTGTGCCACCCTACTTTCTGTCAGTGTTGGTCCAAAATATTTTGCTGCCTGAAGCAGAGCCCAAAGGCCGGCTAGGGCGGATGCTTGTGAATGTCTTCCTATACCGCGCACATGCCGATTCCTCTGCTCCCCTCTTTCTCCATGATGCTGTCTGAAGCAGGTTGCTTCCCCTTCCTGCATGGCAGGGCCAGCCCTGCTTGTCATGCCTTTGCCTCCTGTGTTGCCTCACCTCCTCGTTGGACAAGCCAATCCAGAGTGAGGCACTCATGCTGCTGACTGCCTGGGTGAGGTACGCCTGGGTGTACGGTTCCATCACACTCGTCAGGGTGGCATTGAGGCTCTCGCAGAGAAGCACGGCCTCCTGCCACTTCAGCGGCTTCTTCAGTATACGGTAAGTGCTGTTGAGATAGGAAAGGATGGCGTTGGGAGCAGGGGATGGGGATGGGATCACTGAAGAAGGACTTATGGTAGGATCTGGAGGGTGTGAAGAAAAAAAGAGATAAGAGCTTTTCAGAACTGAAATAACCATGCCTTGCAACTTGCCTCCAGAGCTTTGAACCAATACCAGGTTGACTGAAAATTATGTTACAACTTACAGAACATCACACTAGTGTTTTTCTCAATTCCTATTTTTCACCAACAGCTGTTTTCCTGCTGCCTTCATATCCCTTTGATAAATAAACTTCAATCCTTGAGAGCAGGGGAGGTCTAAGTGACACTGATACCTAAATTATCAATCTAGGGCATGGCTGCATCGGTGCTTAAGGAAGGATGAATTACATGATGCTTGGGGCAAGGGACCACAATAACCCAACTATCCCAGCAACGAGCACAGCAGCAGCACAGCTACCAGTGTCCTCCCCTGCGGCTTTCCTGCAGCTTTACCTTTGCTCCTTTGGCAGATGAAGCCATGTTTCTCCTCCAAGCAGTTCCTGTCATCCCAACGGCCAGTGAACAGGGATGCAAAGCCATGCAAAACCACAGCACAGTTGGTCTGTAAGAGACAAAAGCAGGAAAGCCACCATTCATGTGATCAAATGGAGTTGCGTGTATGAGCTTTTCTACAGGAGGCTGTTAATCTGCTGGATCTACTTTTGATTTCCTCATAAAGTGGAGATCTGACCTCTACACAAAAACATATTCATGGGGAAGGGCATACTGGATGCTGGCACTGTGTCCCCAACCAATGGAATTCTTGCCCCAGTGCCTACAATCGCTTCTGGAATATTACTCAGTTTCGAGCCTAAAGGTTAGATATGTCCTTCGGAAAATGAGAACATACATTCCCAGGAAGCTCTGTTCCATCCCTCCCATGCTTTCTAGGCTTCTGCTGAGCTTAAGGACAGGGAACTGTAGAATACACACCTTTCAGATGAAAACCCAGGTACAGCAACCTTCTTGTTCTACTATCAGTCCATGGTGAAGCTGGCCAAACTTCACTATGGACTGGCAATTTTTAGGTATGCTTTTCATACTGCCATTTACCAAGGCAAAGAGTGATCACCCAAACGCAGCTGAAAGGTATACAAAGGAAATGGTGTGCTTTGAGGTAAGGCGTTTATTGTGCACACATCATTCATAGAATTTGAGAGGCTAAGGAAACATTTTCTACTCCTAATCTCCCACACTTTCCCACCATTCTTTCTTCTTTTTTCTTACAAGTAAAACAAAAATGTTAAGAGGGAAATGTTGGAATAACTGTTCATTTTCTTTTGATTCTTAATACCAAAAGACCTCCATCTGGAACCACTCCTAGAATTCCAGCAAAAGGCAGGATGGTTTCCCAAACTGAGCAAGGTAGATGAAAAGATTTCAGCTCACCGGATTCTCACTGGCAGTAGACATTCTGTATCCAGATGGCTCACCGGGAGCCCAGTTCACATACTTGACAAGTTCAGGTGCCACCCACTGAAACTCCTTCTTAGCATCATGGAGGCCGATCCACAGGTCAAGGGTGATGTTTGGGAGAAGAGTAGTTACAAAAGCTGTAGAAGACAAGAGAACGCAAAGTATGTAACTGGGACAAGGCAGGCAGGAAGTGTTGGTGGGGGTATTATAAAAGGGATCAGAAACTATGAAGCTGAATCCCTATTTTCCCATCAAGGGCCCCATATCTTCAACTATGAGTCTGTAAAGAGGAGATGAGAGTGGTGATTACGTTTTCAAAACAGAAAATGTCAGTGGGCTTTACTTAAGCACTGCACGAGGGATATGAATTTTACACATTCTCAGACACATTATTCTCTCTTAAAATATTCCTGAACTGATTGCTAGAGGAGAACAGTCCTGCTGGATGGATCCAATGGACTACTCTAATCTTGCATTCAAAACATTTTTGGGGATGAGACAATCAGGCCTGCCAGTGCTCCTAAACTTGATCAAAAGCTTCAACCCTAGGAAAACAGAGATACAGAGTGGATCTCTGTCTACTGATGAAGCTTTAATAAAGGGCAGATTTTACCAATCTGTCCTGCTCGCAAACTTCCATCCGGCATCTGACTTTCTGAAGAAAGAATGGCGAGCTGCACAAACTATTGAACTTAGGATGGCAACTCTTGTGTCAGCCAGGGAACCTGCTGCATCAAAGTTATTCAGTTTCCAGAGATAAGACCCAGCTAAATGTGTGTCTGTTTACATGCAAACAAAGGATCCTTGGATAAGCCTTACCTTGTTCAAGATGGCTGGAGATGGATGCCAACATGCCCCCCTGAATTTCACACTGACGCTTTGCCTCTGGCCATGTCACCTGCTCTTGGCTGGAAATCCTAAAGCACTGCAAGATGTATAGAGATAGAGACAGAGGTAGACATCTCTGACAAAGGTTTTCACTGTTTTTATTTTATTCTTGTCCCATCATTACTCCAAAAATCTCAGAACAGAATGCACAACTTTCCCTTCCTGCCACAATCCTATGAAGAAAGTTAGGCTGAGAGATATTGACTGACACAAAGCAACATAGGGTTGCTGGATTTAAACCCCAGTCTCGTCATTTCTCACCCATCCAGGTCAAGGGGGTGCTGGAGAGAGACATTTCCAGCCAGCCGCCCACCATGAATTATGCTACCTTGGGCTAGGGTAGCTCTCCCAAGTACCTTGTCATTGAAGGCATGCCAGCCCTGGGGGCATGTGCCAGGACTTGGCACATGCGGTGGTGACAAGGAGGGCCGCCCTGCAGTGCTGGTGGTACGCTTACAGACATAAGGCAGAGCAGTGAGACATTTCTGGTCACCCCAGTCCTCTGCAGAAGAAGAAAAGAGAAGTGTGACCGGACGCTGTGTTTACTTTGCCCCCAAAGTGTGAGAGATGATCCATCTTCAGGGAAGAGACTTCACCGGACACAATATGCCCCATTTCATGATAAAAATTCTAGCACAGGAATACCCCAAGCCTGGTTCATCTCCCATGCTTGAAAATCGTTGAGTGTGGGGAAGAAAATACATTCTTCCCCACGCTCACCCACACACATGAAATTGCAAAGGGACACAGGGAAGAAAGCAATCTCAGGAAGGTAAATTCATACCTATTACTTACCTCGGCTGGCTGTCATGTACACACACTTCCTGTCCTTGCTGATAGGTCGTGGCTTGCCCGGTGCCCATGAGATAAAGTTCAAGAGGGAACTGTCAGACCACCTGGAGAAGGCAGGTGGAGTTGCACATTTTAAGCACAAGCAGGACTCCAGAAGACAAAATATTTTTGGGGGCAGTAACATTGACAGAGATAGAGAGACTCACCGAAATCGGCCATCATTCTCATAGGTGTTGAGTCCGATCCACCAGTGCCGCTCCTGGCCCCTTGAGAACTGGCCAGATCAAAGGATTGCGCACATTTGCATCAGATACATCAAGGGAAAGAACAGAAATGAAAACTGGCTCTTTTATTTTCTGCAGGGACTAGGTAATTTTCATCCGCGAACTGCCTCCCGTAATTAGAAGCTGTCACCCTGGGACTTTAATCTTCCCAACCCCACATTTTGCCAAAAGAGTAAAGACACTATCGTGCTTTAAGTCATTCTGGAAGTGTTTCAAAGATACCAGCATGTTCTTATGCAATTGTAAGATCTCAAATCTTACTGGGCTTTTTAGTATTGCTAATTCAGAGCCATGTTCTCATGTACCAAATGACCCACTTCCCTAGAACTCTGTGCACACCACCTTGGGTTTTATTGAAGAGAGGCAGAATAAAAATGAATTCAGGTGATTAGTTCGCAGAATGTACACAACTGCCTGCATCCTCCTTAAGCAAATCTACAGTTCCCACCTAGCTTACACACATATGCTTATATGGGAACTCCCGAACTTAAGGAGCTGCTTGATTGATCACATTCCTCATGATGTAGGAAAGGTGTGATTGGATCTCCAGCTATGTCCATGGCTGTTGAGCCAGGGTAAGTTGAAAATAGCAGTCCGAGGAGCGGCAGGAAAAGAGGAGGAAAGATGTGGTATTGGCCCAATAATACAGGGCGTACAGCTCTCAGTGCAGTTTACACTGTCCTGGAGGTGAGAATGGCATGGCATGAGATTAAAAAATTTCCCCTCCACACTGCAGCAGTAAATGTTCCTTGCCGTATTATACAGTGGGCTTCAATCTTGATTGCTTTACACCATCACAGCACACACACAGGCTGGGCAAAGGGATCTGATGTGGGTCCCAAGCAGTCACATGAAACTGCTTGGGAACCTTTTCCAGAAGCCCTGTATGTACGGGGCTGGAATACCTGCAACAAAAATGTTGCAGGTTTCTACCTGTATCATTTAAAAATAATCACTTCCTCCCTGTCAACCTTTCCCCGGTTCTCAGTATCCTCACAAAACCTGTAATTCCACTCAGCTTGCAATATAAATGCAGCTGTGATTATGGCCCCTTCATCCAGTCCTTGCTTACAGCACTCCTATGTTTCCTATGCTAGAATCCAATTTGAACTGCTTTTTCTTCTATGGGGAATTCACCACTGCACACCTCAGTATCAAAAAACAAAAATGATCTGTTCTAGGAAGCTTCCTACCTTCTTCAGGTTTTGGCCTAGAAAGTCCAGTTCAGCTTGACTGTGAACAGATGCCAGTTCAGCCTGGAACCAGGTACAAATCCGCTGAGCTTGCACCCAAGTTGAATGGTGGTCAAAGAATTTATACTCTGCATCCTGATACCTCAGCCACTCATTGCTCCCTGTGGAGAAAGAGTATGCATGAAGGGACTCTGGTGTGACTTTGAAGCTAAGGTGTCTCAAGCTTTCACTATGGCAATTTCTCATTTTGGTTAGCTGCCTTCCTTTTGGTGTGTTTAGCTTCCCTGGGGAAAGAGTTACAAATCCTTGAACTGTTGATGCAGACAATAACAAGGATGCAGAACCTCTGGTCCGCAGGCCTCATCCTTCTGGTGAGGCATCCCAATCCAGGTTTCATAGTCCCTTGGGGTTTCTCCAGAGGGCAGGATTTAGGGACTAAGCCCTGTTCTCTGGGGGAATTCGCCTCAGAAGGCCTTCTCCCAATGCATCTCTGATCTGAGCCTGGAGGTAACAGCAGTGATTCCTTTGCTGGTGCACACCAACAGCAGAGCCCCTACCCCTTCTCTGATCTCAGACGATATGTAGCAGCAGAGATGGCAGAAGCAAGCTTGGAAACTCATCTATGGCAGGGGAGGGGCTGCTCTTCCCTGAACAGGTGAGTCCCACCAACCACTGCCCCTCCCTTGCTTCTATCTCCTGTCTCCTATCAGACATAGCAGCCAGGATGTGCGTTGGCCTGGGCTTAGGTCCACTTCTCTGTGCTGGATTGGGGAAAGAGGGCACAGTTCCACGCCTCTTTCCAGAACACACACATACAAGAAGATAACGTGGTGATGACAGCAGCTGGACCACAGCCCCTGTGCCATCATCCAGCCCACAGTGGGTTTGGCAGGTGACAATCTAGTCCCTCACCCTCAGCCCTAAGAAGTTCTGCTTGCCAGCCTAAAGCATGCTCAAACTGATGTTCATCCTTTTGTATGGATTCTCAGGGTAGAGACACCTGTTGTCTTCCAGTTTACATTGGAACAATTCCCATCCTCCCTCCAATTCCCATCCTGCCTGTGCCTGATGGGAATTAAAATAACACTATCTGGAGGGCCACACATCCTCCACCATCTTTGGTCACATCAAAAGACCATCTTGTGCAACGAATTGTCTTCTACCAACTATATGAGTTTTCCCAATATGGGAAATATGGGGAAATTCATAGGCATAATGGGAAATGGCCGTTCATTGTCATTCATTCCCAGCACCTGTTCATAAAAGATCTCCTGCTTTCCAAGACAGATGTTCCAGTCCTGGTTCTTTAATGGCCAAGAGCAGCCTTGATGAACTTACCCAATTCTCCCAACATACATTGACGCTAATTGAAAGGGATCCTTTCTGTTCTGCTGGTTTCCTGCTTTGGACAGGGCACCTGTCGAGGGTCCCCACTCTGGCTTGCTATAGCAAGCCATTATTGGCACTCTGCTTCCAGTTCTCTTCATGACTCACATCACTGCCCATGGGAGGAAATATAATTTTGAAGAACACAGCTGTATGTCTAACAGCATATGATAATACCGGACTATGAGCATGTCATCTCATCCTCTGAGGGAACCAAAAGCATGATGCAAGCAGAACAGTCAGAGATGGGAAGCTGACACTTCTTCTCCACTAGCTTGTATACATTAAAAAGGATCACATTTATTTTGAATGTATACAAGCTAGATGAAAAGAAGTGTCAACAAGGCAAGGAGTACAGAAGGGGGTGCAGAAAAAGAGCTCTTTCCGAAAGAGGCTTTATGGGGGGATAAGAAAACATATTTACTTACCTTGGACAGTAATCTCTGGCTCTTTCACTTCAGTGCCTATTAAACAACACCACAGAATCAGCAAGAGAGGAAGGCAGATGGGACTAGAATTTATTTCTGCTCCTGAATCCAGAAGCAAAGAACCTTCAACAATTATGAGTTATCTTCCCCAACGTGGTGCCTTCCAGCTGTGTTGCACCTGGGCTCCCACTATCAGCATGACCACTGCTCATGATATATTGGTGGCAGAAATTACTGTCCAACACATCTGGAATGCTCCAGGTTGCTGAAAGATGCCCTAGAAGTTGTCTTACTTTATAGGGCACAGTCCTCTGATTGAAAGCCTGCCAGAGGACACTTCTGTTTCTGAAGTTGTCCTCTGTTTAAAGAGTTGTCCAGACCATGTCCAGCTGAAAGCTTAAAGGTGTCAGTCAGCAGGAAACATCTGGAGAACAAACTCAGCAGACCCACTTAGTTACAATGTTCACCATATGAATTGCAGTTCACCCTGTTTTAATTACCCTAAATTTATATTTAAATTACAGTCTTTGTTTTTTAATATGCATCTGTCCATGCAAGTTAGCATATACACATTTTATGCAAATGTGTGTCCTCTTTTGTTTTTTGTTCTGGGCACTAGCAAAGTATGGCTGCTCCAGCTGCACTGCAAGAAACCTGCCCAGAAGGCAGAAGTGGGTCTGGGCCTTAATGCACTAAACCACAGCACCTACAGAGGCCTAATTTACAGCAGTCCCAGCTGCCAGTCAGAAACCATGTGGAGGTCAGCCATACAAGAATCCTCAAGCTGGCAGGTCAATGCTAAGATCAGCTCCGATTAAAGCGCACTGCTGAAATCATGGAAACACAGAGACCTACTGGGCCATGATGTCCTGGCAGGCATCACCTCACCCCGAGCTACTGCTGCCAGAAAGGCCTGTGCATCCTTTGCTGTGCACTGTGCAATAATGGACATACTTCAGTTGGCTGAAAATCACCTCAAACATCTTCTCCAAACCCCACATTTCAAAATCTCTAGAAATGAAAGCAGAAACTCCATGGGCCATTATTGCAGCAAAAGGCTTAAGAACAGGAGGCAACAGACACAGGCTGCTGTGTTTCGGAATGGCAGCTCTAAAACCGATTCCAATTCTAGCCTCCATGCACTGTGCGCTCCAAGTGTCCACGACCCCATGCACACTCCTCCCCCACAGCCAACCCATCGCACCCCCCTGTCACCTTTAGGCAATTTGCAGATCCAGTCCAGCTGAACCTCACACTGAAGAGGCATCCACTGCAGAGTGGCCAAGTCCAGCGCCGCACAATTGCGGATGTCGTCGTCATCATGGTTACTGCGGTCAAAGTTGTAGTAGGAAAACTGAAGGTCAAAGAAAATCATGGGCCACATTAGTCTCTAAGACTCCTGCTTAGGCAGCCAAAGGTTCCAGTCAGCCAAGCTCCAAGATTTGGGGGGTGTCGAGCAGGCGGACTGTCCTTGGAATCACCCCCTGGTTTGCTTGAGGACAAGCACCTTGTGCAACATGATGAGGGCACTGCTGACTCCAAATGCTCCAGTGGCAGGCTGCTTACTCACTAGTGAGTAGCTATGGCCACTGACAGAGACTGGTAGCTGCACTGAGCAAGCCAGTGAGCAGCACAGAGCCACGAATATCCATACTCCCTAGCCTGCCATCATAATTATGCTGTCCCTGCTCAAGCCATGCATAGGTCAAGGTGGAGCTGGTGAAAGCAAGCCAACACTGCTGGCATCTTTGGCTGCAGAGTTTGGAGCAAGGGAAGGAGCAGTAGCCTAATATTGGCACTGATCAAGGTTCCATGAACTCCAGAGCCGTCTCAGTGAGGCAGGCTCCACCCCTGGAGTGTTTGTGGACACTTAGAAATTCTGCTTAGACATTCTGCAGCAAATCTTACTCAAAAAACACATAAGCATGCTCAGATCTCCTGCCAAATTATTGCCCTGTACAGAGGTTCCAGGATGAGCCTAACTGCCACTCACCCCAAGCCCATCACTCCATTGCCAATTCTCAGCTCGAGGGTTCCGGCGATTCAGGCCAATCCAGAACCAGTGCTGCTCATGGATTTCAGGTTCTGACTCACTGGAGGTTACCAAAAGAGAAAGCAATGCAGAGGCATAAAAGCACTGTTCGGATGAATTCATGAAGATGCTCAGATAAGTTTACTGTTTTAGTTCTGTTGCTCAATTGTGATCGTCCACCAAACCTGAGAAAGCTTGAAAAGTATTTCTCCCTCTTCCATGGTCTTCTCCTCATTATCTTCCTCACATGCCCAGAGGAAGGGGAGTGGCGAAACTTGAGTCCAGATATTTGCCGAAGTGAATTTGAGCCTCAATAAGCTGCCTGATATGTAGTCTAGTCTTTAGCTTATACAAGGATCTAAAGTCACAGTGTTGTTAAGGGCAACAGCAGTACGGTTGGCACCTAGCAAAATACTGCATTTTATTGCTTAGTTTCTTTAAAAGTTAACAAATAATTCCCCTTTGAGGTTCTTGCTTTATTCTGCATCACATCCTAGGTTCAGATAGCCCATTACTGTCCACTCCACCACTTTCCAAGGCCCTAAAGAGAGGCCTTTCCAATACTTACGATCCCTCCCCATACGATGGCCAGAAATGAACCTGAGACTGATTTGCAGGGCTTTTTTTCTTTCAAAAGACAGATGCACAGCACTGTACCCTCTTTTGTAAAACATGTGTGGCATTACGCTTGAGATGTGAAGTATATGAAAGCTGAAAAGGGATTTACTGCCTTGATCACATTAGCTGATCTCCAGGAGGCATTTTATTCTGCTCCCGCTGAAGGTGGCTTGGTTGAATTGCTTGAATTCAAAGGGAGATGCCAGCATTTCCAACAGTAACAGGGTAACATAAATTAGGCTGAGGTGTCAGAATCCAAGAGAATGAACATTGCCCTGCTCAAGTTACTTCCATTTAAGATATATAAAAGAGGGGATCATTGGGGGTGTACATTCATGTTTAGCAAAAATTGAACCTCTGCCTCCTCCCAGGAAACAGGCAGGCTTCTTCTCAAGCCAGCAGGCACCTTAGTCAGAGCAAAGTCCTCTAATTCTCTCCCTCTTCCCTTCCCCTTCTCCTAACTCTTATTCATCAAAGATTTCAGAGAAGACAGGACTGCTCAACTTTCTCCTTTCAGCTTCCATCTCCCTTTGAAAAAGGATCTGAGCTCCATAGAGGGAAGAAGATCTTTTTTTAAGACGCATGACTGGAGACACATTTTAAAATGGCTTAAATATCCAGGAGGATGCACGTCTACATGGGCACATATAGGTAAGACATGACTCTGAAGCATCTGTTTCTGCTTTACTACTCACTCCTCACCCAAACATCTTGTTTAGAGTGCTGGCCACAAAGTGCTCCTCCTCAAAACTGCCTAGGCTCAAAAGCTGTGCATTCAGCTCCTGGCAGAACAATTGGGCAGTGATCCAGCTTTTCTTTTCCTGCAGCTTCTCATAGTTGAACACCTGTTCAAGAAGCAGAGAGAAAGGGGTCACTTCCATCTAGGATGCTGCAGTTTCCACGCACTAATAACTTTTGCCATAAGGTACTGTACACATCCCTGAAATGCAATGTATGCGTAGCACCTGTGAATTCACAATGCCAGTGCCTTGGAAGTTTCCCTCTCATACACTTTTTAACAAAATCTTTAAACACAAACATGTGTCAAACAATGCAGAACAAGTAATGCCTATGGCACCCCAAGTGGGAACAGGATGGGGGAAACATTTAGCATATTTAATTATTTCCATTTGGTCCCCAATTACAGAGGCTTCTCATATGAAGTGTTTATTGTACACTTGTGATCCCTCTCTCCCAGAGGTTTGCAGGGCCTTTTCACAACATCGTTATCCCCTGGGACCTCTTCATGTTTTCCAGCCATTTTTGCTGATTTTTTAGAATGAGAAAAGTGCAGTATTACATTTCAAACTGGGACAAACCGGAATGAAAGCTTTGTGTAAAAGTTGCAATTCCACTGTACTGCAGCTGGATAACAGAATATTTATTTATTTATTTAGAGGTTTCTATACTGTCCGCCAGCCAAAAAGTCTCCCTGGATGGTTTAGAGCATTAAAATATATTCCAACAATCAGTAGCATATAAAACCACAAAAATAATGCATCAGATAAGAATGACATTATACCCACAGTATACTCACCACAAACCCAGCAGACCATAAGCAACTGCAACCCGATTATTATGGAGGCATAGCAGCAATACCAAATAAAATGTAACAGTATGAGATAAAATATAATATAAAATATGGATATTTTTAAAACTATTAAAATATTGGGTAAATAAAAAGGTTTTCACGTGGTGCCAAAAGGAATATAGAGTAGGTGCCAGACACACCTTTTTGAGGAGCTGATTCCATAACCGGGATGCCACATCCAAAAAGGCCCTTCCCCTATTAGTCACCCTCTATGCTTCCTTTGAAGGGGCTCTTTGAGAAGGACTTCAGATAATGATTTCAGGGCCCAGGTAGGTACATACATGAAGAGGCATTCTTTTAGATAACCTGGCCACAAACAATTTAGGGCTTCAAATGCTGGGGTTACCACCTTGAATAAGGCCAGGACTTCAACTGGTAACCACTGCAATTGAAAAATGACTGCCATAATATGCTTTTGTCAGCCAGTCCCCATAGCAGCCTAGCTGCCCTATTTTGGACCAATTGAAGTCTCTAGACCATGGGTCCTCAAACTATGGCCCGTGGGCCAGATTCGGCCTGCCATGCTCATTTATCCAGCCCACCTCAGAGCTTTTGGACTCGCTCAGAGAAAACAATCTCCGAGCATGTCCAAAAGCTCTGAGATGGTGCAGGCATTCTTTGAAACTGAGCAGAGAGCCAGTGCATGTGCCAAATTGTAATAGCTCAACTGCATGTGTGCCAGCTCTCCCCACCACCACCCCCAATTTCATGCATATACAGAGTGGGAATACCAAGTGGGAAACACAAGAGAGGAGGGTGGAAAAGAGATAGAGACGAAGATGAAGAAACTAAAAAAAAAAGGATTGAAGGTAAGAAAAATATAACTTTTTAAATCTATTTTTAATTATGTGAGCCATGTCCCCGGGCTGCGGGACAAGCTGTGGCTGCCTCGCCGAGCCCGGGGGCAGACAGGCTGCGGCAGAGTGGGGCCACAGCTCCCACGCCTCCGCTGTGGCCTTCTCCAAGCAAGCCATAGCTGCCTCGCCTCTCTGGCCTCCCGCTCCTGCTCCCTCAGAACTGGGGCAGCAGCAAGGACTATAATTTCCATCATGCCCAACCGTCATGGCCAACGGAAGTTGTAGTCCAACTCATCTGGACATTACCAGTTTTGGCAAGGTTGCACTTAAAATATGGTAGTCATTAGCTCTGCATCCAAATACAGCCATTGTGTATTGTGGGAATTGTTCTGGGCTGACTTGCTTCAAATACTAAGAGTGGCATTAACAGTATTTATCCTTAGTATTTTTGCTTCATTCTTTGTAAATGCCAGTTGCAGTCATCAGCTGCATTATGCAAAATACTATAATTAGTGCCTTGGTTGTGTCATAGCTATGTCCCTTGAATATGGACATGCTCTTCCCCACCTCATCTTGAACCTCTGCTGCAGCCTGAGGGAGCAGAGCAAACATTTTTAATTTTTAACTAATATTTTAAATTTTAATTATTTTTAAAATTAATTTTAATTTTAATTAATTTTAATGTGCAGTGTGCATAGGAATCCGTTCATGTTTTTTTCAAACTATAGTCTGGCCCCCCAGCAGTCTGAGGGACAGTGAACTGGCCCCCTTTTTTAAGCCTGAGGACCCCTGCTCTAGACCATTTTCAAAGGCAGCCCCACATACCGTGTGTTACACTCTATGGCTACTGTTGCATGGGTCACTGTTGATTGACTCCGCCTGTCCAGATAGGGTCATGATTGGTGGATCAACCTAAGCTGATAAAAGGTGCTCCATGCCACTGCGTTCACTTGTGACTCCAGGAGCACCCGCAGGCTACAAACCCTGTCCTCATGGGGAGTGCAGCCCCATCCAGAACAGGCTGAATATCACTTGACTGACAGACAACCCACCTATCAGCAGCACCTCTGTCTTGTCTGGTATCAGTTTATCCATCAAGTATCAGTTTATTGGCCCTCATCAAGACCACTACCATGCCCGGACACGGATTCAGAATGGCCATTGCCCCAACTGAGTTAGATGAAAAAAAAAAAGATAGAGCTGAACATCATCTGCATATTGATGACATTTCAGCTCGTATTTTCTACAGCCACCACCCACTCAAACACCTTGCCCAGGAAAGGGATATTGGCCACAGGGCTATACTTGTCAATCTCTTCTAGGGCCAGGTTGGATTTTTTAAAGGAGTAGTTCAATTGCAACCTCCTTGAAAGAGGCTGGAAGCACTCCCTCTTTCAAAGAGGAATTTACAACCTCCTTGACCCAGGTACACACCCTTTTTTTACTGCAAGTAATGAGCCAGGATGGACAAGGGGGCGAGCATACAGGTGGTGAACCGACCCTGGCCAAGTCCCTTGTCTACATCCTTAGGGCTCAATAACTGAGGCTCATCCAACAAACCTGGACCAGACGGTGCTCTGGAAACCCCTATTAATGGAGCTGTACTAAATGTGGAGTCCAATTAACGACGAATCCAAGTGAATTTATCCTCAAAGTTCTGTGCAACTTCATCACGGAGAGCGACTGAGGGCTCCACAGTTCCTTAGAAATATGTTGAAAGGCAGAGAACTGCATGGCCTCCAAAAAAAGAGAACCCATGTGACGTAGTGCTTAGAGTGCTGAACTGGGACTCAGGAAGTCATGAGGCTCATTGGGTCACTTTGGGCTAGTTACCCTACTTCACAGGGTGGTTATCAGGATGAAATGAGGAGTCACTTTGGATTTCTCACAAAAGGAAAAATGGTGGGACATAAATGCAGTGTAGTGCTACTAAGAAAATAATAATCATAACACACTTTTTCTCCCACAATGAAAATGGAAGATGCCCCAATAAAGCTTGCAAAGGAATATGGGTTTCATAAAGTCCCTGAAAAGAATCTCATATAGTGTGTGTGGTGGGGAGAGACCAGCTAAACACGCCCTCATCAGAATCTTATTATATTATCAAATGAATGCAATAGTTTTAGAATCCGAATCAATTCAAGTTAAAACAAAACCACTTTGCAAAAATGTTCAGAATGAGAACCCGGAGGCTGGCTGGCTGCTCTCCTTCCCTTTGCGCTTACCTTGTAACAATGCCGCAATTTGGGGCTGGAGCTCCATCCCGCGGGACAAGAGCCAGTGAGGCTGGGTGTGGGGTGTGGTGAAAGCAGCTCGGGGTTCACTGGAGTTCCCAACTTTTGCCTGCAGATGTATTTGGCCTTGAAAGAGGTGCAGTTCTTCACTTCCCATAGACCTATGGCACTCCCAGTGGCCAAGACAATGCAGCCACCTTTGGTATAACCTAAGAAACTCAAGGAAATGGGAAATATGTGAGGGAAAGTGCTTAAGTCAAAGAAAATGTTTTCCCTCGGGCTTGACAAAATTATTAACCATGTTTATCTTGATTGGAAGTGTTACTTTTTTACTTTCTTACATCAATGAAAAACCACTTTGGCCTCTCCAAATGCATAGCTAAGGCAGAACAAGTTCCTACTGTTGCCATCAGGCCTTGCTTGTGAATGGATGAAGGATTAAATCCACTTCCTATCTGATCTAGCAGGGATGTTACTAAATTCTAACGTCAGGATGTAGAAAGATCTATCACATTATGTGCAGTACATGTCTGCATGTCCACTTGCCCTTTTCAGTACAAGGATCTTTCTTTGCAATAGAACAACCTTCTGTTAAATCTTGTTACTTTATCTGCAAGAGACTGGGCCACCATTTCACCACTATATCCAAGGGGGTCCTCCAAGCTGCAATTCTTCCCTGTGTCTTCATATGATCTACCCACTCAGTTGCTTTTGCCATCAACACCTGCTCCTCCACAAAATGCACCTTCATTTCTTCTAGTTCAAAGGCACCAACTTCAAATGTTTGCCCACAGCTTTACTGCCAGTAAAATGTCTTGGAAAGCAGCAAAACTCAGCCTTAGATTTTATTCATGCAGGTAAAAGCCCAAGTTTCAATACAATCTCTCTCTCTCCCTCTCCACACACACACACACACACACACACACACACACACACACACACACAGAGAGAGAGAGAGAGAGAGAGAGAGAGAGAGAGAGAGAGCGTCTTTATAGTATATAGAGGCAACTTTGTTATCAACTTAACAAATATTTATTTAAAGCCCATTGACAGCTGCTGCTGCCCAGTGAGCTGATGTTTCATTGAGCAACCGAACAGAGCCCCAAGTTCTCTTTCCTGGAAAGCCACTGGTTCAAATACCATTGATGCAAACATGAAGATAGGAATTTTTGCCCAGTGTACACCAGTTTTCATTTACTGAAATTGAATTTCATTTGCAATTCTGTTGCATGGTGATTGAGCTGAATCCACTTAGAATAGACCCATCTAAAATCAAAGGGGCCTAAATTAATTATGACTAGCTTAAGTTCTATTCATTTCAAATGTACCTCTTCCAAGTAGATGAAGGGTGCAGTCTCTGAACTCTGAAGACTGAGCTCCTGCCCAGCTTCTCGGCCACTGGCACACTATTCCCTCCACCCCACATTGCAACTGGGCCTCAAAGAGGAAAAAAGGTTTGTTCCTGGGGGAAATTCAAGGAAGCAGCTGAGGCTGTAGGGTTGCACACATCCCAATTGGTACCCCAGCCTCCTTCCCTCCTTGTTTCCAGGCCTAACCCTAAACAGCTATCTAGATAAATCACAAGGCGCAAGGCACAGCAGCGGCCAAGACTGCTGCTGCATTTCGTACATTAGATGCTCTGATGTTTCTGAAGACTTTCAAGTATCTGCTGCAAGGGCAACAGCACTGTGCCCTAAATCCAAATCCAACCTATTAAATTTGGAAAGACACTTCTGGGATTCTTGATAGAACCTAAATATTTTGTGTTATCTACATACAGTGGTACCTTGGCACACAAACGCCTTGGTTCACAACCAAATTGGGTCGCGAACAAAAACTTCATAAAAATTTTGACATGGATCGCAAACTCCGTATTGGGTGGTGACCAAGATTACAGCCATCTCTCCACCCACACCCAGCCCCAAGTGGGGAGATGGCCACGATCGCAGTTGCGTTCGTGCAGGGAAGGCGTGCGTGATCATGGGCACACTCCTGCAGGAAAGATGGGGGCAATCTCAGCCATCTCCCCCCCCCACACACCAGCATGATTGCAGCCACGTTCGTGCAGGGAAGACGTCCGTGATCACGGCTGTGCTGTGCTGAGCGCACCCGAGCCAGGATTTCTTTGAGAACCACCACCCCAACATAACTGTAACAAACAGAGTGTTGAATCTGATGAATGATAATGTGGTCTCTCATTTCTGGAGGGTTATGCAATGCAGGAAAAAACAAGTGACTATAGACAGATTTTTCACCAAAATTGACCCTGCAGCTAAGAGACAAAGAAGAGAGGAAACCCCTGAAAGAGATCTCCCCAATGTCCTTATGGAGGGGGACACACCCTCAAAACAATAACCTCCCCCCCCACCTAAGTCAGTGTTCTCCACTGTACTGAACAGTACTTTGTTGTTCTTTGTCACTTTGTTTCAAATTTTTCTGATTTAAAAAAAAAATAGTTACAGAACGGATTAACCTTATTTACATTGAATCGTTTGGGGAAATTTGACTTGGGTCACAACCAGAGTTGTGGAACGGATTAAGTTCATGAGCCAAGGTAACACTGTATTTGACTACCTCTCTGCTCACCCCTCACCTTCCAAAGAGGGTCTTGTAATCTGTCACCACTCTTTCTTCCAGCTTACAAACTCACGTGGATGTCACAGACATCCAAGGAAAAGGACAGAAAAAGACAACATACTATTAACAGTAATGTATGTGTTAATATCAACAAGACATGTGCTGGCTTTATCTGAACTAAACTGACTCATAGCTTTATGATTTATGATTTTTAGCTGGATGTGAACATAATACAGCAAAAAGAGAAATTCTGAGGATTAATGTGATAAATGGTTTTTTAAAATCCAAAGAATTAATTTAATTATAACCGAAAAGAAAACCCTGCAAAGTCCAACCCCATGGTGATGCCTGCAAGGCTCTGAACTTGGAAGAGTGATTGGCATCCTACGCAGGGCAGAAGGAGTGCAAAGGTGACCTTTCTTCTGCATATTCCCACCTTGCACATCAGCGAATGGACAATTTTGTCCATCCAACTGTGATGCGTTGGAGGCACAGGGAAGGAGGCTGGTGCACCACCAGGACCCATTGTCTCTGGGCAGACTAGGCTCTCCTGCCCCTGCCTCCCTCCCCACTCTCTTCATTTCTTCTCCAAGGTCACTGCTATAACCTTGAAACGTAGCCAATGCAATTACTTCCACACTGGCTGAGAGAGAGGGCAATCCAAGCATGGATCCTCTGATCCATCTTTGAACCTTGAATGTGAATGAATGAACCATTCATGAGATGCCATCATCTAGGTGCCACAGGATTGCTCTGCCTGATATCGTAGAATAAAAATAACAAGTAAGCTGAATCATTTATATACAGACAACAATTAGCCATTATATAATGGATGTATTACTCTTACAGAACACTAGAAATATTCTATTATCTTTTCAAACAAAATTTGTTAAAAAGTTATTTCCTTATCGATTCAGCAAACCAATGTGGCAGTAACTTATTTTATAATGTATTCTGAACCATCAAAAACTAAGTATAGAGTTGAACATTTTCTGCAACATGAAAAGATAAAAATGGATTTTCAGTACCAAACTTATATTGGTATCAGTACATCTGATCTGATAACGATTATCCTGGCCTTGACTACATCACATTTAGACTGGGTGACGAACTGTGCTGTACGTGCAGCCATTGCAAAATGCAGCAGCTGGGATGCAAAGCAGTACACAGCATTGGGACCAGATGATACCTAATTTGAGAGACCTGCTCTGATGGCAAATTACCTTTTTGGGTTATTCAAACTATTGCTTGCAACCTTTAAAGCTCTACATGGCTTAGGATGTGCCTATTCAAGTCCCTCCTTCCCACATTTTGTTACGAAATTGGCTGGATCTGGAGGAAAGACCCTCTTGAGGACATCACTGTCCACACAGACCTGTTCATCAGTGGCATATGAAGGGGCTTTCTCCCGTGTTACTTCCAAACTGTGAAATGTGTTCCCTTGAGAGCTGTGATCTTGACTTTTAGGACAGGCCTGAAGACGCTTTAATAAAATGGTATATAGATGTTAATAGTACATAAATGAATACTAAAGTATTATGCTGTAAATTTAATAAGAAAAAAAGCCTCAGGCTGGTGTGTAGGAAAGAACAATGCTGGCCGCTCCTCCGTGGTTAGGGAAGTGCCCTTGGAATGAGAGTAAAGGGGGTGGAGAGGGGAAGAGGAAGCAGGAGCCGGAGAGGCCAGGATACAGTGGATCCTGGTGATGCTCCACCTCCTTCCCTTCCCCTCCCCTCCAGAGCACCACAGTGAGGCAGCTAGATGTCCAACTACTTTGCAGAATGGGAAATGCAGGAAGGTGGCCACTGCCTCCATTGCTCCTGCTGATTTGCAAAGGTTGCTTGTAAGCCTGCAAGTCTGGAGACTGCACCCAAACAAAATATGGCTTACAGTGGGGATATTGTTTGATATTGATAATGTTTCTACAATAGTTCATAAATATGTTCACTCTTACTGATGTCATTATGACGCCAGGAAGCACTTCCTGACAGTTAGGACCCTGAGGGTAAGGAATGGGCTTCCATGGGAGGTGGTTCCATGGGAGGTGGCCCCATCGGTGAGGGTGCTCAAGGATAGGCTGGACATGCACATGGTGGGCATGTCGTGAGTGGAGACAACTGGAGCCACGGGTCAGACTAGATGGCCCAAGAGGCCCCTTCTGACTCTCTCTGTTTCTATGGCAAAACCTCTCCTTTTTATGTTTATGTCTTTGATTAGGTGATTTTTAAAACATATATGAAGGGTTCTGAGAATAAGTGTGCGATCCTATCAAGATGCTCATAAGCCCCCCAGGTAGTAGGGGTGCTGGATTGTCCTACTGTCCTGCATTTCTGCTAGTGCGGCTTTTGGAGCAGGAGGGAAGGAGAATAGAGGGTATCATACCCTGGCTGCTCCCGTCTCCTCTCCTCTTCGCCCAGTGTAGGCTTCTTGTGATAAAGTCAAGTTCCACAATCAGGAGCACCAGAAAAGAAGTGAAAAACGAAACTGTGGATTTCATAATTCCCTTCTACAGATCTTTGCTGTCACCACACATTGGACACAGTATACAGTTCTGGTCACTGTAGAGATAGGATAGTCTTCTGCTAGAAAAGGGCAACTACAATTATCCAGGGCAATTCTCCTATATGGGAAAGTTACACCACTTTTAGCTTGGAACTGATGGCTCCAGCATGGTGCTTGTAGATGCCGACATGTCCACAGATGCCACTCCTGGTGCCCATGGAGTTTCCTGCCCCTCCTGATTGACACTTTAGTTCTTGATTTAAAAAAAAAAAGTGTTGAGGCTGGAATGCTGCCCTCTACCATCTTTTCTTGGATTCAGCGAAGTAGTTTTGCGTTTGGAGCTCACCTCCATCTCTGTCTTGTACTTAGGGGCTCGAGAAAGTTGGCTTTCATTTAATCTTATGAGTTTTCCATCTCAGAAATGAAAGCTTTGTGATTGGCCATGTCTACCAATTTATTTATGTATGAGCAACACACAATCATAATTGATGATCTGTCTGCTCATAGGTTGTTGATCTTGTGTAGGATTGAGAAGGCAGCACCCTTAGTCATTCCCATTCAAGGTTGGCAAATCATGGGTTAATTAACATGCAAACTTCCCATCTGTATTATCTTTGATATAGTGTATACTTTTAGACCAGTTGCTGGAGAAAAGCAAGCCAGGTGGCATTACTGCACAATTGTCTACTTGTGATTTACTTGCACATGGGTATCTGGATGCCCACTGTGCAAATAGAGTAGAACGCTATAGAGTCCTTTGTTCTGATCCAGCATGCATCTTCCTTCGCAGATTTAATAAGCAGGATGACTCATCCGCCCCTCCACTATGTAAGCTTGAAGCTGGCATAATAAATTCACAACCCCTCATTACTGCTTTGAGTAGAAGAGGGTTCTTCTTGTTTTTCACAAAAATAGCAAACCAACTGCACAAGCCTAAAGGCTCCTTACAGAGGAATTCTAACCACAGCCTTGCATTTACAGGAGCTGTGCAGGGCTGTCAAGTACAAAACCTTTAGGAAGGCTTTCATTCAAGGGGTTGCCATAAACGGGAGTCAACCTGGAGAAGGTGACCTGGCCAATAGGGATCACAGTGGGGCAGAGGTGCCTCTTGAATGACAGAAAGGAATGGCCACATCTGCCTGGAGGACCACTTTTGCATGCCCTACAGGTATGCCTCCTAGGAGTATCTGGAGGGATACTGTCCAGATACTCCTAGGAGTGATACTGGCAACAGTAGCAGATGTTAGGACTCCACACTTTACGGATAAGGTGGGGATCAGGAGGAGGGGGCTTTCAATGCACCAGATCCAAAGACTCCTGCAAAGGGCCCTAGATTCATTCCTTTAATTATGCCAGCCTGAAGCTGACCTAGGAAATTTCCCCTATCATTTCAATAGGTGAAGGGATTTGTTAAAAGCTAAAAAGCAAAACAGAACGAGTTTATAAACACGCATGCACACACACAGATGTGCGCGCACTCACAGAGACTTGAATAGAACACCCTGAAGCTTTCCAGACTCAATCTTTTGGCGGTATGAAAAAATGTCAGCACACTACACAAGTGCAGAAAGGCCAGCCACCTATTATTTTGCACATTGCTGGAGAAAGAATGCTCCAGTTCTTAAGTTCCATGACCTGAAACAATCTTGTTAAACTCAGATGTTTTAAAATTAAGAAAATCATATTCACTTTTTAATAACAAATGGGCAAATGTGTATTTGATTTCTATGAATCTATAGTATTACACATGGTTACATGCAGTATGGCATGTGGCTAACTATGTGGCATATTATTTCAAACATTTGTGCATGTGTACTTTTATATCACAGTACATTTCCAAAAATTATGATGGTCCTGTCCATTCTCTGTGTGCAGAAACATAATCTAACAGGCTAGGCAGAGGGGAAGCCAAATCTCTTGCAGATCCTGTCTTACATTGTATCAAGGTGGATTTTTTGAGCCCTATGATAAAAGCTCAAACCACAAAAGATATCTATGCTTTAAGCTAGCAGATGACTTTTTGACATATTTAATTTTTAGACTTCTAGAGAAAACTGAAAGTTGCAAGATGCATGCTGCAAAGGCCAAAAGCCATCCAGTCCAATCCATTATATCCACCCAGCGATGCTTCTGCAGCACAGCCTTCAGAATGCCACAAGCAATGGTGCACCAAGAAAGGACCAACAGAGAAAATAGGTACAGGTGATTCATGCAGGAAAAGGGGGGAAATGCTTTCTTTTCTGTTTTTTGAGTAGGAGGCATAAGTTAGTATAATACGTGGGAATTTTTCTTTCTAGCTTTGATAGTAGGATGCACACACTCCAGCTGAAATAAAGCTGCAAAATACCCCTAAGTGCATACACAGAGCTTTTACCAGGCTGGTTGCGGTTCCAGTGTGTATATGTGACTTCATCCCCACTCAGCCAATGGAAGGAGCCCGTTTCATTTATGTCCTGTAGTGCTGTCCAGAAATATTCATCCTCCCAGCCATAAATTAGGCTGCTCACATAGGCCTGTTCAAACCTTGTCCAGGGAGACAAAAAAATGTAACAATCACTTCCATACCACATCTTTGCCACCTTCTCTGGCCTCCCGGTAGCATTTGTTCCTACCAAAAGCCACCAAAAATACATGGCCCATCCTTATTCTAAAGGATTTAGTTATTTATTTAGGGAACTTCTATGCCGCCCCATTTGCCGAAGCCTCGGGGTGGCTCACAATCATAAATAAATAACATAATATAAAACAATATAATTTAACAGTATGAATTAAGTCACCCCGGCCAAAGCATAAAATAAGTAAATAATATCAACAATCAAAATAACATTTGAATAAAAAGGTCTTCGCCTGGTGCCGAAAAACAAATAACGATTTGCAGTGGAATATCTGGAAACCTTCCCACACTGTTTTATTTTAAAATGTCTACACTACAAAAAGCTTTCTACATGACTTACAACACAACACAAACCTGTCGGTTATGGTGACCAGCGTAGAACTGTGGTCCGTGCACATCTTCTGTGCTTCACTGTATGTCACACGGTCATCTCCCAGCCAATAGCAAGATGAGCTGTGCCATTTCCAACCCTGTACAGAACATAATAGTTTAAAAAAAACCCTCTCATGAAACTGATATCAATTGTCACTTTTTAGATGTATAAAGAATAAGAAAAAAATCAATGAATTTTAATTTGATAAACTTTTACTCTGCTTTGCCGAAGGGCTATTATGTTCAACATGTTTGCTTTTATTAGTCAATTTGCAAGCCCCACTAGAATCCCCGTTTTCCAATCCCAGGGGTGAGAAGAGGATGCAAAGATATTCTTTTCTGTGCTGCCACCCCCCACAGGTGTCACATAGTTGAAGGCAACTCTGGCACAGAATCTTTCACAAACAATGGCAGTGGAGCTCAAATGAAATGGCTAGTACTGCACAGAAGAAGGCAGTGGTAAACCACTTCTGTGGAAACCCTATGGTGAAACAACCCAAAATGGAACGAGAGGTCATGCCAGCAGATGAGACTCTGAAGTCAGAAAATGGTCAACCAGCTACTGGAGAACAGCAAAGATCAAATAAAAATAGTGATGGTTTTGTCTTCTTTTACAGAGAGATGCTATCATAAGTTCCAGCAGATCAAGCAGATCAGTGTTTTCCAATTGGTGGTACTTTGCTGTATGTCAAGTAGAAAAACAGTAGTCTAAACATATAAGTTAAGCCGGGGGAAGAGGCATCCAGCTTTTCCCTTGGTGCCTGTACACCACCCCGAATACTAATCCACTTCCTTGGCGTCTTTACCATTTTCACATCTTGGCATCAGAGGGCACAGTACAGGGATCATTTGGAAGTGGGGCAGGGGCACCAGTTTTAAATCAGGCTATCCTGCCCAACTGTAACAAATTCGGTTCTTTCCATTTATGTCACTCCTGCCTGGCACCTTTAATTACCAGATCATAATCAGTCAACCGACAGATATCCTTGGTGATTACAGTACCCAGCATACTTTATTTACGCCATGGTGTATAACAGTGTGCAGCAGTGACCATTTTGAATATTTAAGTGGCAGTGGCCTCTCTTTTTCACACACACACAGCCTCCCTCTATTCTGATGCAAACAGACAACCGCCCTCTGCCCCCTTGTCGCTCCCACTTGCTCTCCCTGCTCCTTCTGGCTTCCGCCTGCTCTCCTTCTTCCCCATTCACCTAGCTTCATGCGAATGTTCTGAGCCCTCTGCTAGCCTAGTGCTGCCCTTCCTACCCCCACAACTGACCAGACAAATCCCATTTATGCTGCTTCTTTTTCTTGGTGACGGAGGATTCAGCAGAGGAAAGTATCAGCCTGCTGGCACGTGCCACCACCAATTCCTAAGAATGTCCCTGAGCCCCAGATATAGCTGAGAGGCATTCATGAGACATGAAGACAGTACTGGCTGGAGCACCTCACTTTGCTGGAAAGGAGTCCCAGCTGCCAATAAGCAAGGTGGTTGTTCTTCTTCTTCCTCTTCTTCCTCGTTAGGAGGGGTAAGGTGCCCTGGTGGGTAGCATAAAGCCCTGTTGCAAGGCAGACCCCTGCTAGCCTCTCTGGACTGATTCTGCCCCCTTGCTTTGACTGGGGTGCCAGGTGGCACTTGAGCAAAAGGAGTCCCTCCACTGTCGACCCTCCTGTCTCTCCTTCAGGCCATCAAGGACCCTCTTCCTTACAATCTCTTTCACCTCCAGCTGAAAAGCAGCCTGAGCCAGAAAGGTGTAGACCCCCTGCCCTCCTCCCCTTTCAGAAGCTGTCTTGCTTGGCCCCTTCCCATGGCTGTGGTTGGGAGTGGGGGTAAATTCCATTAGCCAGCAGGCCTTTGAATACAATGAGCTGAGAACCAATATCCTGAAATTCTCCCAGCAGATATTTTCAAATTACTTTCTTCAGATTCTGTAAAGGAAGAGATCCCATGACTTCCCCAGCTTCTTGCCCTACTGCAGAACTATTAAGATAAAGGTTTGAGTGCAATTTGGAAATAAACTTCTATTAAAAGGGGGACTGGTCTTCTATGGCTTGTTTCTTCTGGTTGGGCAGAAAAGTGAGAGAAGTGACTTTTTGGGGTGAGAGAAGTGACATTTTGTTAAAATTGATACTGGAACTGAATGACAGATATAGGGGATGGTGGGAGGCGAGGTCTTGGGAACTTGCCATGCTGTCTGTGAGGCAGGCATCCACTAAACAGCTCCAGTATACAAGCGCACCTCTTGCCAAATACCATCCTGGTAGTTCTGAGCCAAGAGACAGAGATTGTTGGTGCTCTGACTCAGCTCGGTGGGCCAGCAATGGGACTGAGAGCCTCTGACAGCTGCAGCAGAAGGCAAAAGAATCTGAACACATACACAGAAGAGCTGAGCAAATGCTGGTGCTGGGGAAATGTAGGAAGAAAAAGAGAAAAGTAGGCAGGGCCTGGACAAATCCCGGGTCCAGCCTGACTGTGCATAAAGTGGGCTTGAGTAGATCAATCTCTTTCAGAGTCATTTCCCAAAAACTGCTTACACTTAAGGCTTGTATTGGATCATCACCCTGCCTCATTTGTGGAATTTTAAGGTGGAATTGAGACAACAATGTGTTCTACTCAGAAACCTCCAGCATTTTCCCTCCATTTCTTTTGTCTTCTCCCTTCCACAGAGAATCAGCTAAGAAAAAAGACGCACCATAGCTGCACAAGGAATAGCAATACCTCGTGAGAGAAAGGGGAAAGCAAACACCCAAAACAAAAAAAAGAGATCCCATGACTTCCCCAGCTTCTTGTCCTACTGCAGAACTATTAAGATAAAGGTTTGAGTGCAATTTGCACAGATAGATATATGGTTTCCAAATGTCTTTTGAGAAAATGCTATAGCATGCCTAAGCAGACTGTTTAAGTTGTAATAAATGCACTCACAGCCAAACTTAATGCATCAGCTTCTGCAGGTTAGATGCTGCCTGATCCAATACCAAAACTTTGAGGAAGTAACACTGTTTTACTTCTTCCCTTCTTCTGTAAATTACTCTGTAGAGCTAGTTTTCTTCCCTGGAGAAGTAGCAAATGAGTCTTCCTCCTCTACTCAAATATCAATCCAATAAGAGACCAACCAGGGAAAACTATTCCAGTAACCATATAGATAATAATTTCTCTAATTAAAACACTGAAATATTAAAGAAATTATCCACTTTCCAGTACCTAGTGCTCTTGCCGAAGATGTAAGGAGGTGGATACATACTGGCCCTGGCCACCTGGAAAGATGTTTCCTGGATATGCCAGAGCTAGATTTGAATTGTGAAAGAAAACATCTAAACACTGCACATCTTGGTGTGGGGCAGCATTTTAACAGATCTCTTGCATGTTTTTCCATTGTTGCATCTCAAGTGAAATTTGGAAACCAAGCGCCTTCTTCCCACTAGCCTTTCCTCTGACTGCAACCTTAACTAGCTGTCTAGGGGAGGCCATGCTCCTTCCTGCTCCTTCCCAGAGCTGCTCCTGTCAGAATCGATAAAGGCTTCTTCCTCAAGGGGCAAATTTTGAAGCACAATGCCCTGCCTCCCCTCCCCATTGCTTTTGGAGCCACGTGTGCGCGAAGATGATTCCTTTTTACCTTTGTGCAGCCATGGTCTTCCTCTTTCCTCCCCTGACTCACATGACCCCGCTTCTTACAGACAGAAGGCAGCGTCTGGTTGCAAGGACTGTCATTCCATCTCCCATCCTGGATAGAGGCAGAGAAGTTCCAGCTCAATGGAGGACAGTTTCACAGACGATGGGTGCTTCCAGACACACAGATAACAAGCAGGACCCCTCGCTGCCCTCCCTCACTGTTGTATCAGGGCATGGCTAGCTGACACAAAGCTTCTTGACTGGCTCCCTGCACCTTTGGTGAGCCTCGGCTCAAGTGTCTAACCCTGTACCGCTCTGCCCTTGATGATGAACGAACGCTCTTCGCTACCCTTTTCATTCTCCACCAGCCCATCTGCTACCGGACCCCTTGTCCTGTTCCCAGCGCTCATCCTTACGCTACGCTTACACTTACACTCTCACTATCAGCCTGGGAATGTGTCTGCATCTCTATTGCACTACCTCCCCAGCACTCATTTCTTTCACACAAATCACAGCCAGCCAGCCTTTCATTTCCCAGAGTTGAGCCAGACTGAGAGAGTAGTTTGGACAGCAGATGTTGGTGGCTATTAAGAAACACCCAACTGCCTGTTATTTGATATTATTATACAATTGTGAGGGTGTTATATAGCTTTAAAGTAGGGAATTAAAACGACCTGGAACATCACTTTGGTCTAATCTCACCTTGGTCCAGAAAAAGAGAATCCCTAAAATAAGTGCAAGACAAAGATGTCCACAGAAAGGTACAGAGTGAGCATTTAAATGTATCCCGATACCCATCCGTGTCCTCTCCTCTTGCCCGCCCCTCCAGTGTTGTCCAGTTCTCTCCTGCACATCTTCACTGGGCAGTCCTCAACCCCACTCTTCACAATTCTTTTGTCTAATATAGCACTGATGCAAAGCTACTCCCTAATACAGGGACACATAAAATAGCTTCAGAAAATAAAATATGCCCATTAGCAGATCTGGAAGATCCAGGCAGAAACATGCATTCCAACTGGGCACTCACTCTTCCGGTCACCTGGGGTCATTACTATTACTGTAGGTCAGTCTTACTATCTGGCAAAATAAAATGATATGCTTCCTTTGGACACCAGCTGAAAAGAAGTGTTGCTCTGACTGGGTTCAAAATGACATGACAACCCATCATGTGTGAGAAATTATTCATGCCTGCATATGCCCCTGTGAAAAAATGTGGGGTTCTTCATCAAAGAAAACTTTTAAAGGGGAGTGGCTTCCACTTTTCCATGTTTCAGAGCATCTAGTGTTTTGTGAAGGGTGTGAGCACCACTAAGACAGTAAAAAATGAGGATCTTGCCACCAAGCAGTTTCTAATTAAACCACCCCTTTTTTGTTAGTGCAGATCACCTTTGGTTCAGCTTGACAGCTCACCTTTTAACAACTGTTAAAGGAAAGCAATGTAAAAATAACCCTATTTGGAACCTTTTGGGGGCAATGTCCAGTATCGGTATCTATTACGCTTTGCCAGCAGGTACCTCTCTAAACATTGACCAGGCAAGCCTGCCCATTTTCAGACCTCCCTAAGTGTGCAGATATGGACTTGTAAAAGAACAAAAATGCACATAAATATTTGTACATATTAGGAAGTCCAAAAATAATTAAAGTAAGGTTTGCAACTATAGTTAGCCTTGCAAGATACTACTTAGGTAATTTAAAATGGTTCTCAGTGGCTAGCAAAAGTAGGGATTATTAAAGCTGGCTGTCAAGATGGAGATGGCAATTTTCCCCTGCTGCCCTCCCCCAAAAGAAAGGAGAAAGGAGCAATAAGCTGAAGTGTTTGTAATCACCGCAGGAAAGGGGAGACAAGTCAGTCCTGTTATAGAATCCCATGGGACAACTGCAGGAGAACAAGGGCAAAGGAGGGGGCAAACAGCCCACAGAGATGCCTTAGCAGCTGTTGGATGCAGCATGAATTGTTTGGAAAGCAACCAGTTAACCCTGGTTTACACCAAGTGATTAATCAGAAGCTATGGTTTACTCTGATGTGAATATTCAGCAAGGGGTGCAGTTCAAGGGTTGTATTTGGTCCTCCAAGGTCTTTGCTATGCCTTCCAATGGCGTTTGGACCCTCCTGTCCCTCAATTTTCCACTTCCTGCCACCCCCATATATCCTCATACAGATCACTGGGTTCCTACTGTTGCTAGCAAGTAGGAAACAGTAATCTGTATCATTGTCTTCAGGAGGCACATGAGTACGTCTGCAGCCCCCTCGCCTCGAGTCCTTTGCGTTGAAAAGGTTGTGCACTGCAGAGGGGGCTCTGTCCTGTATATCTCAAACTGTACCCCAATCACATGACTGGTGTCCCACCGTCTATATACATACCGGTCCCCAAATAGTCACACAGTCCTCCAAGCTGTCTCGGAAATTGTTGGGCTCAAATGGGTGCCAGAATGTGAACAGCACAGGTGTGCCATCAGACCACTCAAAGTTCATCTGTAGTCTAAGATCATTGAGGCCAATCCAGAGTTCTTCTACATCTGGTGGAACAAGTTGGGAAGGATGAAGTGTCTACAAAATGAACAATACTAGGCCATTCATCTGCCAGTAAGATGCCTATTGCCCATGCAATGTACCTCTAATGCATCCCTCATCACTCCAGTTTGTGAGCATTTATCAAAATATCCTCATTTTCTCTTGAGGACTAGGAGCTTAGAACTGAAACACAGAGTTATTAGTTTAGTTATTAGATTTAAATCCCACATTTTTCTATTTTGAAGAACTCCAGGTGGCTTATATCATTTACCTCCTCCTGTGAGATGGGTTGGGCTGAGACACTGTGACTGGCCCAAAGTCTCCCAGTGGGCTTCATGGCTAAGTGGGGACTAGAACCCAGATCACCATGCTCTTAATGACTGCACCACACTGGCTTTCCCCCCCTCAGCCCCTGGAACCTCCCCACCCGCAGCAACTGTCCTAAAGGTGATGTTGGGGGCCTCAGCCAGGGCAAAACGGACTCTGGCCGGAGTGGAACCCTTCAAATGCAAAGCTCCTGCTGTGATCTCTCCTAAGGCTCCGCATTTTCCTAGCACCAGCCAGACAGCAACCAGTCATATGGTTATACCCTGAAATGTTTCCTGATTAGCAAACTAAAGCTAAAAGTGGGTTAAATGGAACTACTACCAGGTGGATTCAGCTGGGTAAAGAATCCAACTGAAGGAGTACCTATCAACAGCACCTTCTCAAACTGGGGAAAGCTAATAAATGGCATACCACAGCTTTCAGGGCTCATCAACGTTATTTTTATTAATCATTGGAAAATGCAGTTAAAGGAAATGCTTATCAGATTTACAAATAATGCCAACACCGGATGGGACAACTAATAACCTGGAAGACAGAGACAAAATTCAAAGTGAACTTGATAGGTTGGACCACGGGGCTGAAAGTAACAGATGGGAAGCAATGCCAAGTTCTGCACCTAGGAAGAGGGAACCAAATGCAGTTACAGGATGAGGATACTTGGCTCAGCAATACTGCACATGGGAAGGCTCTTGGAATTGTTGAAGATCACAAGCTGGATATGAATCAACACCATGATGTGGCTGAAAAAAGGAAATACTCTTTGGGGCTGCATTAATAGAAGTATCACTTCCAAAACATGAGAAGTATTAGTTCCCCTCTACTCAGCACAGGTTAAGCCTCAACTGGTGTATTGCAGGCTATCACAGTTCAAAGAAGATGAAGGCGAACTGGAAAAGGTCCAGGGGAGGGCAACAAAGATGCTCTGGGGACTGCATACCATGCCTTGTGAGGAAAGATTGAAAGAATTGGGCATGTTTAGCTTGGAGAAGAGAAGACTGAGGAGAAATATGATAGCGCTCTTCAAGTACATTGTCACACAGAGGAGGGCCAGGATCTCTTCTCCATTATACCAGTATAGGGCATGGAATAATGGGCTCAAGTTACATGATGCTGAACTTCAGGAAGAGACTGAGTGTTAGAGCAGTAGGACTATGCAACGGATTATCTAGGGGGGTTGTGGGCTCTCCCACACTGAAGGCATTCCAACTGAATGGCCATCCATTTAACCTGCATTGAGCAGAGCGTTGGACCTAATGACCTTACAGGTTCCTTTCAATTCTACTCTTCTATGGTTCCATGATTCTCTTAGTATACAGTGCCTGACAAAAGACAAAAGACACAATTCACATTTTTAAATAATTATTAACATTAGAGTTGTGCTTGTCACAAGAACTAGCTGTTCCACACTTGGACAGCTGGATGATGATGAGGGAGGGAGCTGGATTTATGATTGTCATACATGCCAGCCAAATAACACTATGTACACCTAACACCTGCTGAAAACTGGAAGATAAAGTTGCTCCTGGGCTTGCTTCATCTATCCTCTGTATATCTTTCCTACAGCAAATGTATTGCTCAGCCTTTACTGTTAAAATAAGAAATTACTGGAGATTTCAGTGCATTTTCACAACTATATAAGCCACATGTTTGAGACAACTGTTGCTTACCCTGCTTGATCTGCTTGGTAACAAACTCCAGTTCAAGGGGAGTGTGGATGCTCACCAGGTCCCCTTCATTCCGCAAGCAGGTCTTTTTGGCATCTGACCAATTCTTCTTTTCACTTATCAGGCGGTAGCAGTTGGACTGAAATGGTTGCCAGCTAGGATCACAGTCAGTCTTCACCTCTGAATCTAGGGCGGATAAACTTTAGGTAATAGCACTTGGAAAAAATATTTAATTATGCCACCAAGAATTTTATAAGGTCACCATTGACAGAATAAACTACCTGCCACATCAGCCTAGGAGTTCCTTGATCATTAGAGATCAAGGCCTATCTCTAAAGCTCTAACTAGTCAGGCACACATAAAATGTGAAATTCTTCTTCCATCCTCCACCTCCTCATTTTGATGCATTGCATGCCTCCAAAATCCCCTTGCCTGTCCAATGCATTCCAGTCAATTCCATGTACTAACTCCTGTATCAGAGTCTTTTAAATTTACATAATAAAAAGTTTGATGATGACAATGAAGAAGTAGAAACACTTAATGTTTTATTAAACCATGAATGAACCTAAACACAGAGTGAAATTCTTCTTCTTCAACAACAGTAATATAATTTAATCAGCAGCAGCACCCAGTGTGAATGTTTTCCTGCAGAACTCTTTCCTTCAACCCTTCCTTCGGGCTTGTCCACACAGCCTTCTCCAAAGGCCTTATTTACAAGTCCACACTACTTGTCCTCTTTGAGTTAGTCATGCTGTCTTGGGGTCCGTTTTCCCACCACGTTCTATCAACGTGATAAATGGCTGGTGGAGATTGCAACCTAGCAGGGCCAGCTGGATAAACAGTTTTCTGCTTCTTAAAAGCATGCAGCCTTTCTCCATATTACACACCTGTCAAGTATGTATTAGAGGTGGCATTAGGTTTCTTCTTGCAGATATAAGGCAAAGCAATGCTGCAGTCCCGGTTCTGCCATCCCCCTGATGACTCTGTCCGGATCACTCCACAGTTTTCTTCACCGGGGTTGTCAGGCTGATCTGCAAGTAGGAGGAGAATATCAACGAAGCTTGGCATGGTCATTGTTTAAAAGAAAACCACAGGTGAGAAACACTTGTCATACAGCTAGGCATATTTAAGGATGCTATCTGAGATCAGTTCTAAATTTCAATCAGAGGCAAAAGTGTAGGCCCTGCAGATCTTGTTAAAAGAAATGGGAGACATTTCACTGTACTCTTGTAGAGTCTAGCAGACCTAAGTTCAGGTAACCACTCAGATGACAATTGTAGGATAGCTTGGGGCCAGGTATCTCAGATTGTAAAACCCAATGCATTCTCAGAAGTGATGTATTATCATCAAAAACAAATAGTTGTTTAATAAGACCACATTGTAAGCCCCAAGGAGCCATTGGTTTGCATTCAGTGCTGAAAGATCTAGAGCTGGCCATTCATTCTCCTTTCCCCAATCACAGCAAGAATAAAGGCAAATCTAACATTTATGGACAGTAAAGATGGCTGTGAAGTGGTCTTGCTACACTCAGTTTAGACCCAGCCTTTCCTCTGCAGAAACAAGCTCTGCTAAGGAAAACTTGTTCAAAAAGTACAAGCCACTGACTGGCTGGTGACTATGATGACTGGGGACCCTCTCCAGTCTCCAGAGGAGTTTTGTATTGTTTTGTTTTGCTTTAGGTTTTAATTTCTGCTCCACCAAATATGGCAAAATAAGGATATATAGATTGATAAGCATCAATGCAGTGTTTAAAATTAAAAGGGATTAAGCCAGGAAGCACCCCTGAAAGGTGAAGGCAAAGGACAATGGCTGAAGCCAAGGGTGTATTTCAGGGGCATTTACATCTGTGAAGCCAGGAGGAAGAAAGATGGATGAAGAACTCAGTTTACATGATGTCTGGCTTCATTTGATGGGAGCATATATATTTTAGGTTAATACTTTAGAATCCCTTCAGTCCACTTACCTGTTCTACTTCATTCATCCATTTATAGAGCATTTATACCTGTAAGACTTAATCTTTTGCTACAGAAAAGGCTATAACATTAGTGAGCAATGTATGCCGATGGTCTGTGCCTCCAAACAGGTTCTCTTGATTTTTCTAATTATTATTATTATTGAGATCTTATTTATAGCTCCCCATCTGACTTACCACTCTCCCAATTAAGGAACTTCAAAGGTGAATTGTCTGACCACTGCCATCCTCCACTGAGGTCCAAATCATTAAGTCCTATCCAAAGAGTGGAACCATACCCTGTTAAAAGACCTGGTGTAGAGAAAGGAAGGCATTAATGTCACAGAATCAGACTTTCCACAATAAGCCATATCCAGCCATCCACACCTCTGCAGATCCCCAAATGGCTTCCATTCTTCATTCTCTCCATTCACTTAGTTAGCCATGGCTGCTGCTGGGCTCTCTCTTCCCACCCACCTAGCAGAGGGCAGCCTTCCCTGCATCCCACCTCTCTGCTGAGTGAACTGCTTGCAACAAATGCCTGTAGGCATCAATACGTTCTTTCAGTGTTGACATTTATAGTGCACATCCATTTGTCTACTCTCTCAGTATTACCAAGTAGTTCCTTGCCAAAACTAGTTTCCAAATACTGAAGCAGACTACGAGAACCACCATTAATGGAAAAACACTTGTCTGTGTGCTCAGGAAAGAAATGGGTAGAGAGAGCTCTCTGGAGCCAAAACTCCTGGACACCTTTGCCAGCAGTAGTTAGTTCAGTCCAAGGTACACACTGCTCACCATTGATGTAAGTCTGTTCATGGATCTCAGTGATACTAAGTAAGCTGGCTCCTTGCTGCTCACAACTCTTCCCAGCCTCCTGCCAAGAGAGAGTGGACTGGAAGTTGAACTGGTAGCAGCTATTGGTGAGGTGGTCCTTGTCCCAGAATGTATCACAGTCATTACCTAAGAAGACAGGCCAGAAAAGAAGGAAATTACTGCAAGCTGATATAGCTTAAATCCAAATGAACCAGCTGGCACTTGTCTACTAGTGTCCACTTTGCCAGATGTTTGAGATTCTTATATGAAGGGAGAAAAGTGTTTTTCAACCTTTGTATTCTGTGACTGAGGTAACCCTGGGGAGAGAGGAGGGGCAAAGTGAAGGTAGAGTTGGGATATGGAGAGACAAGACATAGCTTGAGTATCTGGGGCAAGCCTTCCCATAGGTTTCAAAACGCACTCAGAGAGAAACTTTATTTATGCAATTTTAATTCAAGCTGAGCATTCTGGGAAAAATATACCATTATAGTGTTCATTTAAGGTTATTGTATATAAGCTTGTACATTAGGATATGCTACTGACTGTGAACTAATGTATTATTTACCATGTGCCACAGTCAAAGAACAAATAATTTCATGTATGAAATCCATCAAAATTCAAAAAGCTTGTATACAGAACTGCAACTTTTAATACATTTAAATGCATATCTGATGCATATTTTAGGGTAAACCCTCCTATTCTACTCTATTGTCCTAGACACAGGCTGAATTGCTGTTTGTGTGGAATATTTATTAATATTTTCATTGTTGATGAGGATGGATCAGAGAAAATAGAGGATGAAAGTGCAGCTGCTGTTTGCTGTAAGTCAACTTGGCTAGGCAAAACTCAAACTTGTGCTTTGTTGGTAGGAAGTAGGGTGTAAAGGCAGGAAAAGTGGGTAAGGGGGCTGAAGGAGCGGAAGACTTAATATTCAGTAGTCTACCAGGCAGGGGAGTGAAAGAAACCAGCAACAAGGAGGCCTGTAAACCTCTTACACGAGAACATCCACCCTTCAAATCATGGGTCCAAACTTTGGGTTTTTCATCCCTCAACATCCCAGAGTTCTGGGTCTGGACGTCATGGTACACAACCCAAAGAGTAAGTGCTTCTGGGTTTTGCACCATGGTGGGATGGATGCAGGAAGCCGCGTGAGTGCTCCCTCGCTCCCACTTATCATCTCAGTAACTATGGTTTGTTAACTGTGACTTGCTATGATCCTGTTGTGGTACAGGAGTGGCAGTGTGGTTCAGGAACCCACAGGCCTGAAGATAAAGGAATTTAGGCAGCAGAAGCAAAATGAAGAAAAACCCCCTCCGCAGAGGAACCGTTTTTCAACTGAACCCAGTAGATACAACTAGCTCGTTACTCCTTTTGTAGGCTGACTGGTGCTAACCTACAGCCCCACCAGTGCCCACAATTCCATACAGCACGGAAGCAGCTCACTCTTAATAGGACAGAATCCCCATCTCTCATCTTTGCCATAATCCTGGGTGGTAGCACACCAGAGGTGACCATCTCCACGGCCCATGCTTGTACAATCATAGAACCACTGGTTATCGTACTTGAAAGGTATGGTGCACGGCTTCCCATGAGAGTTGCCTTGAATGGTATAAATTTCTGGAGGAAGGCAAAGAAAGAAAGAGACAGAGACAAAGTGCATTGACTCATACTTGCTCCCCTCTGCTTATCATTTGACCACAGGTCTTGCCAACCCACAGCACCCTCCTCAAACAAGTAGCGCCCCAGAAGTGTTGAACTACAACTCCCATCATTCACCAGTTAGCATAGCTATTGGGGCCAAAAACATAGTGGCCAAAAGTGTAGCTGGCTAGGGCATGCTGGGAGTTGTAAGCCTTTTTTCTATTTACACTTCCATAGCATTGCGACTTGCGTCTCTTTACTATGGCCAGAATGGAGGTAATAAGCCGCTGGAAAAACTCTTATGACTGTACAATCTAGAATTGGGTCACTGAGATTTGGCTTCTGGGAAATGATTACATCGCACTAGGCTGGCAAGAGGCGCAGCTAAATGAGGCTTCTTTAACATGTAAGGTAAAATCCAGCATAAGTTCTACTTAAAGTAGACCCACTGAAGTGAATGGGACTTAAGCAAATAATGACTAATTTATTTCCCGATTCTTTTCAGTAGCTCTGCTTAAAGAACAACTTGAGCCTTCTCCAACCTCATGCCCTCCAGACCTGCCGACTGCAGCAGCCGTCTTTCCAAGGAGCGCAGCCATTGCAATTCACATCCTGGCCAGGAACAATAGAATCTGCAATTCCAACACCTCTGGAGGGTGCAAGTTTGGTAAAATTTCTTTGGCAAGATGGAACTCTGAGCTTCAGTGAGAATACTGAAGCAGAAGGCGGGAACCTGGCAAGCGTTTTAGGACAAAATAAAAAAATCCATCTTTCGAAGCACTTTGAAAGATTTTTTTCTATTTGTATTGACATTGGAGAGGTAGGAAAACCCTGCCAAAAGAATGGTCAGAATTTTACAATTTCTGTTAGTTTTCCTAACAGGGATTCAATTAGATTGTCTATATAGGTCTCCCAAAGTATGGCCTGAGTAGATTGACAATACAAGTGGCAACCCTTTGGAGCGTCAAACTAAATAGATTATCTAAATTTGTTTTATAGTCAGTAAGGTTTACATAATGTTTTGTCTTTTAAAATAAATTGTGGGAAGGGGGAATTGTTAGTCTTTGTTTGTCAAAGAAAGCTAGCACAGAGAGAAACATTTACAAGTACATCTTCTCAGAAACCATTTGAAATTACAACATGCTATGGTTCATGTTTGAAGAATTATACTTGTTAGATCCTTGGTAGCAATAAGAAATCATGAAGAGAGGGGAAAAACAGTAGAGGATATGAAGTAACTGACTGTTGTATAGATAAATGATTTCTTTGTTGTTAAACTACCATAGAATGTTGAAAGATAGATAAATTGGGGAGGGGGGGTACAGTTTTGAAAATATTGCTTGTATTTGTTTAAAATTCCCTTGGCAACTTTGACCATTTTAGCTTATCTATTTTACTTTGCTTTGTTTTACAAATTTTTTCAGTATTAGATCATGTTAAGAAAATAATTATAATAAAAAAGAAATCTTTCTCATATACTTCAAATTAATCTATGCACTTAATTCCTAACCAAATGCTATTATGATCACTAACACAGACTTTTAATAAAATAAACCAACAAATGTAGACTAGGTTTAAGATTTGATTGCTCAAAACATATTTATAGATCATAACTTCTGACTACCAGCTGCTGGGCTCAAGCAGAAGGGGCTGGCTATCACTGTAATGCCCTGCTGGTGAGCTGTAAAGTCTAGTAGTTTGACCTCGCAAGGCAGTTCTGACATTCTTATATACTCATAACAGCTGGTAACTTTCTTTTAATGAGAACACGGGTTCTCAAATCAGACATTAGATTCTGAATTTGCATAGGACACCCATAGAACCCAGCACTAGCAATGATAAAGAATGCAAATATTAAATTTCATTCTTGACAGGCAGGCTTTACCAGAGTACGGTCTGGAGCACAAATCTTCATCATGGCCATAGACCTTCCACTGGCTTCCATGTGCTTGGTCACCCCTTTCTGTTGCTGCCAGTGACCAGTTCCCTAGCCTGGAGCTCAAATACTGAGAAAGCTGGTCGCCCAGGCTCCGGCAGTTCCACCGCATGTTGACTGATTCATGATCACACTCATAGGTGGCCAGTGCATGGGCTACTGTGCTGGTGTTGGCGGACTTCCAGGAGACTCCCAAGCATTGCATAGTTCCAACGTTGAAAAGCCGGTTCCGGGAAACCCATTTCCACTTCTGCGCAGGGAGGCTAGTGTTGCAGGTTTTAGACATTTTTACTAGAGAGTCCTTTGTCTCCAAACAGCCCTGTAGACCACTGCTGTAGATAAGAAAGATCCCAGAGTCTGAGAAAATACAAAGATAAGGTAGTATATGAGTATTTACATACACACGCACACTTTTAAAATCCCACAAATCCAGAAGACCAGCTGGCACCAAACCCCTCACCAAATACAGCACCATCCTCCCAGTGAGCAATCCAGTCAAAGCACAACAACCCACCAACTGTGTCAGAAAAGAAAGCAGGTACAATGAGGAATGTTGCCTAATTGCGGAGGAATATCTGGTCTCAATAGCCTGAAGTAATGAGTTGTATAAGGATCAAAAAAGTCACAGGCAGCCAACCAGAATAGTATACGATACCGTGAATATGAATAAGTGCATTGTTGCATAATGATAGTACACTTTCAGTTTTATTTCCAAACTTCCAGTAATTGCTATCCCTACAATTACTTTCTTGCACTGAGTTCACAACAAAACCCAGACCTTAAAACCACTTACAGGTTTAGAGGCAGTTTTCAGCTCTAGAGTTGTGCCTTCCAGGCATGAGTGTTTTTTAAAAAGGTAGCTTACCTTAAAAGTTATCTACTTTCCTGTGCATCTAAAGAGGAAGCAAAGAGGAGAAGGTGTCGTTTCCCCTCAAACGAAAACAGAAAAAGCAAGTTCTGGGAAGGGTTAGGTCTCTCAGCACTCCTAATGTTCCTGGCTATGTGGCTTTAGAAATTATAAGGTAAACTGTCCATACCATCAAGAATTTTTGCTTATGACCAAAAAAACCCTATCAGCTTACTTTGAAAACAAAGGGCTAAAGTTAGAAAATTACAAGTTGCATGAAAGCATAGAAAATTATAACTCCTGCAGATTTCAGAGCCTTTTGTTGGGAAAAGGAACACAGTAGTAAGTTGTCTGAAGAGAGGACGGCTAAGACACTAAATACTGGCTTTATTTGGAACTGTGCATGATCTCGCTAGACCCACATGTGGAGTTTAGAGGGCAGCACCAATAAAAAATTTCAACAATAAAATAAAGCACAAGTAATACGGGAGCATAGAGGGTATGATGGGAAAGCATCCCTTTGCCAAGACCTCCATGGGTCTCTTTTGCACCTTGCCACAAGTTCTTGCTACAAGCATCCTTTACTCTCAGTTAGTAATGTATGACTGTGAGAGTTGGACCATATGGAAGGCGGGGTGCCAAAGAACTGATGCCATCGAATGTGGTGTTGGAGAAGACTCTTGAGAGTCCCTTGGACTGCAAGGCGATCAAACCAGTCAGTCCTAAAGGAAATCAACCCTGACTGCTCTTTAGAAGGCCAGATACTGAAGATGAAACTCAAATACTTTGGCCACCTAATGAGAAGAGAGGACACATTTGAGAAGACCCTGATGTTGGAAAGGACTGAAGGCAAAAGGAGAAGGGGATGGCAAAGGATAAGATGGTTGGATGATGTCATCAAAGCAACAAACATGAATTTGAGCAGGCTCCAGGAGGCAGCAGAGGGCAGGGGGACTTGGCGTGCTTTGGTTCATGGGGTCATGAAGAGTCGAACAAGACTTAATGACTGAACAACAAACAGCAAAAATCTAAGAATGTTGCAGCTTCCTCTCAGGGAACAGGATTCAGGCCTATCTACTGGCTGATTTCACTGTTGGACCACAACTGATCTTCAAATAAAAATCTGGGATCCTCCATTACATGTTCCCCAATTTAGGACAACCTAGTGGGGTTTGACTAAATCTCCCACTACTCCCATATAACACATCTGTTCTATTAACTTCAAGTTGCAAGATTAAGTCTCACTGGAAAAGATAACCTTGCAAAATAAGAGAATTTTGTATCTTGAAGGACATAATTTGCAAATAGGTTGGCATGCTTATATGTGGTATGAGAAGGTTAAGTCTCATGGGACTTTTTAAAGTCACTTTATTAGAAGATCATTAATGTCAGTGTGGGAAAAGTTAAAATCAAAATTGTATAATAAGTTACCAAGATGGCTTTCACCTATGGAAGCTTTTGTGTATCCAAATGTATTGAATTTTGAAGGGATCATAAGATATGATGATATTTTGGATAAGGATGGAGGCCTGAACCTAGATCAAGAAATACAAGAACAGGGACTCAATATCTCGTGGTGGTATAAGGTGCAGATGCAATCAAGATTTGCTAAAGATTGTAAAATATGGGGGTTTTATAAAGACCTAAAAAGACCTTTATAATGACCTATAAAGACCTTTGATCAAGTGATGTTAAAAACAGATGAGAAAATGATTAAAAGAATTTATGAGTTCCTACTTGACAGGAAAATGGAAGGGGAACAGAGGTTAAGGAAACTATAACATGGCCACAAAATTTTGGATATAATATTGAATTAGAAAAGTGACAAAAGTTATGGGAGAGAAATATTAAGGTAACTTTAGCAACTTCGTATAAAGAAAATTTATATAAAATGTTTTATAGATGGTATTTGTTGCCAAATCGGTTAGCTAAAATGTTGCCAAATATGTCAAACAGATGTTGGAAATGTAAACATGATGTGGGTACTTTTTACCATATGTGGTGGACTTGTGAATATGTGAAAAAATATTGGATTAAAATACATAAATGACTTGAGGAGATGTTACAAAAACCCTTAGCTTTTAAACCTGAAATTTTCTTGTTAGGGATTGTACCGGAAAATATTAGCAAACAAGAAATGTATTTGATACTACATTTAATCACAGCAGCGAGGATTGCGCTAGCTCAATGCTGGAAGAGTGAGGAAATACCCACTGAGGAAATGATTTTAAAAAAGATTCTGGACTGTGCAGAAATGGACAGATTGACTCTATCACTGAATGAGAAAGAAGATACTGACTTCTATCAAACTTGGGACCTTTTTTACGAGTGGCTGGAGAAATGGGACTAGGCTTAGATTTAAAGATGTCTTTAAATTTTTATAAATCAATTTGAATATGATTATAGAATGTTTAAAAGATATGTTATAGGGGGCTGACCCAGTATGTCCAATGTATTTGATGATTGATTTTTTTTTAGTTTTTAGTTTAAAAACTTAATAAAAATGTGCAAAAAAAAAAAGTCTCACTGGAAAAGATTAGGAATGTACCCTATTACAAGTTTCATTGATTTTTATTCAAGTGTACAATATGTTTCACAATTCTTATTCAGGTCACAGTTTGTATTCAATTGCATGAAATGGAATGAGCTAAGCTGACACTTGGGGACCTGAATCCAAGTCCAAGCCAAAGTCAGCTTTCACACTACTTTTTAAAATATGCATTGGCATCTCCTGTTTCCCTCCTTTCCCCTGCTCATTGATTCCTTCTTTCTTCTAGTTATACTCACTCATTCAGGACCAGAAAATCCTAGGCACCTCATCACCTGGAAATTTGATATTAACTCCTGGAAATGTTAAACATTGATTTCAGCTCTTTATAGAGAGCTGACACTTCAAAATTTAACACTACATCCAAAAAAGATTACATACATTTTTATTCTACTTTTCTCAATCTGTTCCCCCAGTTCTTTGAAGACCATGCAGACAAATCCCCATTATCACTACATCTAATACCAAACTTGGGTTGTGAGTTTGAAAGTGAAATGGCAGCCAACTCCAGAAGATAGTAGTTTCTACATGCTTAGGAGACCTCCTTTATCTGCCGAAGTATATTCGTTTTTAAATTAATTGTGTAAAAGGAAAGTGTTAGAGAACATGCACACACACAAAAGTATAACTTCTGATTCACAGATACTGATATCCATGAAGATGATTAAGGAACTACTGTCCATGTATCCAGGCAGCTGGATGGTCATTTCCAGAAGGTGATTCTAATGGACTACTAATGGCACTGATGCGATGATGTCCTGTGGGGTTTAGTCTTGCCTCCCATGCTGCTCAACATTACATGAAGCTGCTGACTGCGTGGAAGACTCGGGGTTTCTCAGGTAACCATACTATGTTCTTTGCAGAAGTGGAAAGATAAAGCAGCCGGCCCAAAATCAGAACCTGGGATGGTGGAACAAGCACCAGGGCCAAGTGCCATTGTTGCTGAAACTCTTGAAAAGTGCTACACAAAGTTGCTACAGCTAAAAAAGAAGAGAAAATATTCTCAGAGGCAATTTAAGGCAGGAGAAGCATTCTCAAAGATGTTTTGCAATGCATTTGGAGAAAGGGAAATAGTCCCTGAAGGTCTGAGGGCCTTTAGAATTCCTTTCCAAAACACACTGGACATAAGGCATCTGAGAATATTTTCTCTTTTGTTTTGAGACACAGAAGTGTCTTCTTGCTAGTTTCAAAGTGGCTACGGTCACCATCATCATAATCTTCCCAGCATGGCTTAGGGTCCCATCATAAAGCCGAGAAGCATTCTGGGGAAATTAAGATGGCAACAGCTGCTGCCACCTTGTCCAGCGTGACTCTATGGAGCACTGGACTGTGCAGCTACGCATCTCTGCTACTGCTCCCTGAAACATGGCCTCCCACTCAACTGCCTCCTTGGGGTACACCAGGACAAAGGCCTGTTAGGAACTGGGCCCCCCAGCAGGACTCTAACTTGGAACAATCCAGAGTTTGAACATTAGAGTCGAGATAAGATCACTCCACAGTTCAAAAGATGCTTCTAAGTTCGAACTGTGAGCAAAGTGAAAAAATGCAGTCGCAGTGAAAACATCATCGGTTGTGCACCCAAACTGAAAAAAAAAAAAAAAAAAATGACAGTAAAAGACACATTGCCTCGATGTCCTGAATCCATTAGTCTTGAATCAATTTGTCTTGTCTTGAATCTGTTCAGCTTGAATTGATTCAGGACACTGAGGAAGCCACAACAGTGCAACTAGAGACATTCAAGAAAGATGGGTAAGTATGTTCGAAGTGAGGGGGAGCATTTTGAGGGGGATTAATGGAAATGTGTCTTTTTATTGTCATTTTTTTTATTTAAACATTTTTTGTATTTTTTGATTACCCCTCATATATAACCTCAAACTTAATTCCTTTCAGGAGGCCGTAACTGCTGTTTAAATTTAAGAAATGGTTATTGTTGAGGGTCTGAGAACGGATTAATTCACTTTT